TGTAAAGAAAGATATAAATGGTTCGCGCATGTGGCACTGGGATTCAATATGATTCAATTGTATTTTCAATGATTAGTTTCTCTCTCACCAGCGAACCAGCCGAATCCTGCCCCATGTGGCTTGGGCCTGAGTCCCCCACCGGGACTAGGTGCTGCATGCGGGACAACGCAGACGCCATTTGGTGCGCGCACGCAAGGACTCCCAGGATGCGACTCAAAAACATCGTCCGCCAGACTTGCGACCGCCAGGGTGGGTAACCTGTACAGACTCAGAGCAAAACCGTAATAGAAGTTAAGCATAGTTAAGCCTTCCTGTTGGGCTTGCTGTTTTAGTCCTCATTCTGATTGTAAAACCTGAATCGAGAGTCTACATGCTGTATAGAGATGCCTTCACGCTTCCACCGTTTCCACCAGAAGCGGATGGTCGCTGGTTTTCGAGTGCCGTGCCGTGCATCCGTGCCGTGCAGGTCGGAGACTCCCGGCTCGTCATGGGTGATTTGGAGACAGGTGGGGTGACGGAGTCCGACGGAGTCCTGGAGATTGGTATCAATCGGTGCAAGAAGGTATATCGCCACATGAGTCAGGAAGCGCTATACCTGAGCTGGGCGGTGGCTTGCTCTTAAAGAAGCCCTTGGGCTTAACACCAACCAGCCTGAGATATTGGGTTCTAAACAGGGGGACTCCTTTGACAAAGATTGGCCCCTGCGATCGGGATGATGCATCCGGCTGCAGAGATCATTTGTAACAGCCTCATCTCTAAGTCTTGGCTCGGTGCTTTTTCGTTTGCAGGAGCCTGTTCCAACATGAACCAGGGCGCCAACAGTGGCATTGCTAGCATCAGGATACCGCTGCAGCTTTGCGAACGCATCATGTTGAAGTGTTTGTTTGTTTGTTTGTTTGTTGTTTTACCAATTTTGTGCTACTAAGGTCACTGCGTTTACATGCCTACAAACATTAAACCCAGAAAGTCGCGTCCCTGTATATTGCTTTGATATTCGTTGGTCCTACAGCCAAACTGGTCTGGGACCCTCCAGCCTATGCCATGACAGCCCTTCCCCAAGCTGGTGGCTTTATCAAACAATATCCATGCGGCTTATTATGCAAATCACATCCGACCGTGGTTTGCCGATTTGTTTCTCTCGTTGTTATCCTTTGGAGGTTGGGGGAAGACTTCACCATGTGTTGGTCGTCCAAAAGCATCGTATACTAGTATATAAATTTAACACCTCATGATCACTTGAAAATAGGAGGTCTCATCTTGTGCCTTTGGAGGCCAGCCAGTCTACTGCAGCACTGAGCACAAGGCACCGAAAGCCAAAGCGTTCTTTCGGTGTTACCTGGAGGGACGCCACGCCTGGGGGACGTTTGCCTTTGAGTCAGGCATCGGGTCAGAAAGCGGCCAAACGGGTGAGGACTTCATCTCACAAAGATGAAACCGAACACGAGAGGTCTGGTGTTGTGAATTCCAGGATTGGCGTCTGCCAGGGCGGAAAGGTCTCGCTTTCTTTCAGAAAATAGGTAACTGTGCGGCTGTTGCATACTCAGATTTGTGAGTCGCCTATTGTTCGCCACGGCTTGGACCATGCCCGCATATCTATAAATATATATATATATAAATGCCGTGCTCCTATCCAGTTGTAATCATCGCAATAATTTGAAGGCACTTCATATATACACATGGACTCCTTTCCTTAATGCTCCAGTACACTCAGTACACAGGACAAGCATTCTTTCAACTTTGTCCGAGCCACCGTGCAACAGAGAGGCTTGCTAAGCCACTTTCCACCAGGCAAGTTCCTTGGCCACAGTATGCCACGGTTCGACTGCCAAAGGCCCTGTCTTCACAAAAAGCAGCCTCCTGAGCACTGCCGGTTGTTTACCTTTTGGAGGATCATGTTGTGGTTATTGCCAAGACGGTACTTCCACGGTCCACCACCCTTCATTTTCCTCCACCAAGCCATCATCCCCACGCGGCACGTGTCGACGCGTCCAAAGCGGAGGCACACGACGCGGAGGAGTACAAGCGCCTGGAAGCGGCAGGAGCACAAGTGATCCAGAAGAGGCGAGGGAACGAGGGAACTGGTGTTCTGTTTGCCGTTTGCCTAGCGGCCCACAACAAGGGTGAACAAGTGAACAAGCGCTGTTGTATGTGGGTGGGTGGCTTGGGGGAAGAAACATGATAAAGACTGGTAAAGGTCAAATTAAGCCCCATGGTTTGGATAGTGTTTTGATATGTTTTGGCACTCCCACAGCTCGTCCTATCCCTGCGATGCACACGAATCCAGTTGTGGACCTCCAAATCGCCCATCGGACCGCCCTGGGCGACGCATGCTCTTCGCCCCCCAAGAGATCCGTCGGGTCTCGGAGCTCGGACCAGGTATGACGATGGCGAAGTGGTCAGCCGCATCTTCATTCCCAAGCGCGGGCTCACAGATCCAGAAGTCCAGGGTGATTGAAGTACTAGTACTGGGTGGTAGCTCTTCTAGTCTAGTCGCGCCGAAAAAGCACTTCCCTACAAGTCCAACCATTGACTTAAGGGTTCCTACCCGACAACGTTTGTTCTTTTTACCAAAGGTTTTACCAAACCAGGTGACACATTCTTTGAAACTGGTCTTGTGACGTCCAAGGGATGGGGCCTCACAAGATTGCACCCCCCGTGAGAACCACCCTGGCAGCGTGCTTCTCTTCTCATGGGAAAAACAAATGACTCAGGACTGGTGTGCCTGGTCTGGCGATGTCGCGCTCCATGGGCGACGGATGCCTGAAGAGGTGCGGTCACCCGGACGGTGGACTTGATAGGTCGACCTGAAGTTGCAACGGGCGACTCTAGAGTCACTCGAGTCAGTGTGTTTGTGGGAGGTTTGTTTGGCGTGTTTCATGAAGGATGAAGTGAATCATACTATAGTAGCCTCCTCTTGTTCCTACAGATGAACACTTCGCGTCGCTTGGGTTTCGGGTTGCCCAACCTCCCCCAAAACTCCGTGGCCTTGGCGTCACGGCGCGTTGGCCATGCCAGGTATGGCGTGACCGCGGAGCCGGACATCTTCGATATCACAGGTGCCGGTGACGCTGCGCCAGACTCGAGAAGTGCTCATCATGAATCATCAAGCCTTGAATCCCATCAAATTGCCAGATTTGCCTACATTGGGGGTGGTTTAAGGGATCCGTGGAGGCATCTCTATATATAATTATTTTTATGTCTATATGAGTCCGTACATGCTGAAGAAAGCTCCAGACTGGCAAAAGGGGACGATCTTTGGTGTCTCAGCCTCCGTGGCTGTGCCCCCGGCCATGTGGTTGGGATCGATGCGTGGCCGGAATTCGATATTCACGGAGATCCGAACCTGGATATTCCGATACCCTATATAAGAATCCGGGCCCTCAAACAGATAGGGTTTTGAGGGCCCAGACCTTTGAATTTCTCAGTGGGGAGTTGAGGTTTGGACAATTTCGGACATATTGAATCCACGGATATCCGATATCTAGTCATCTAGTCTATTGGTTCAGAATTCGCGCATATCAGAATCCGGCATGGGTGACCGGTTCAACACCTTCAAGGTGATTCTTTGTGAAAAGTCTCTCCGATCTGAGAAAGCCACGCACCACTGCACCGCAGATTCCTGGCAGAGTTGTACTTCGCCTGGCGTGATCATGGGAAGCGACGGCTTGTGGGTCTGGTCTCCCGAATGTGCGACGTCGGGGTGCGGCTTGCCATGAGTGCGTTGATCCTCGATTTCGCTGTGGGATGAAGATGAGCGCCATGGATTTGTAGCGAGGGTACACGAAGCTTTTGGCATAAGCCTCTAGTTGTCCGTGGTGCTTAGTTTCAGTTGTACTCTTGTTTGTGCATGGTACTGTAATGGTGTATATACATCCATCTACCAAATCTAAGTTGAGAACAACATGAACTTCTAGAATCTATCAAACAGTCGCCTAATTGAGGGTGCTGATATGTGATATGTAGCTCATAGCAAGAAGCAAGCCATGTCCTCAGTTCTCACTCACACACACCCACATATTCCTTATGGAGGCAGCTTGTCCGCAGAAAACATGCCAGGGTCGAATCAACCTCAGAAACATCCATAAACCCACCTTGGACAGCCAACCCCATTGCTTTGCCCAGCTCTCCCGCTCGTGGCTGCTGCTAGTTCCGGCTCCAGCTTTGCGAGCCAAAGTTGCTCGTGGAGAGTTGGGTGGCTGCTATTAGGTCGAACAAGACCAGTTTATATAAGCCAAAATAGTCAAGAACGCCTTTTGTGATAGAAAATGATTCATATGTTGGCTATTTTGGGCTGGTTGCAGTCCAAAAGAAGATAAAGAAGTCTTCGGGGTTCTGGATGGCGAATGATTCGACGAATATATTCCGCGAATTGACTTGATCTTTGTCTTTTCTTGCCAATATAGTAGTTGGTAGTTGGGTGATCAAGAATCTTGAGTGTGTGCTTCATGTTGTGGAACACCGCTTCAATTTCATGGTAAGGTTGTCGGCTTCAAACTGTTCCCTTCAACCACTGCTACACAACCTTTTGGCAAGCTGCAGTGTAGCCAGAAGACACACACACACAACAATGGCTCCTGTTGGAATGACTGGGTGAAAGCAGCTTTGCACCCTACAAGGGACAGAATTCTGAACCCCTGATCCCCCAAGTACCAAAAGATTCCCATTGTCGGCCTGAAAAGATTCCCATTGTGGGCCTGAAAAGATTCCCGCTGCAGTCCAGCCTGAACCAGAGCCGTAACACCGTAAGACCTACAAGATGCAACTATATGAGTACCCGACAGAATAGGGGCCCACCCAAATTATAAATGTCCTTTGCGGGTAATGAGCAATATTGTCCGACACTCATATATGTTCCAGCTGCGATCACCACTTTTCGTTCTGGCAAATGTTCATTGCTCGAATTAGAGGCACCAGGCCTTGTGGACAGAATACGGAGGATCTCTTGTTGACCCCTTTTTGGGGGTATGTATTCTCCATGGCATCCGCGGTTTCCAGGTCATTGTTCAGCACCCGGTTGCTTCGGGCAGGGTTCCGGTTGAAGCATTCTGGTTGAAGATCCCCGGCTGAGCCGGGCATGGCTCGCACGACGCCATGACGAACTGGGATCAAGTGCATATCCATACCAGCGATGAGTGCACTGGGAAGAATGAGTGGATGGGAGGTGGAGAGCCAACCCACGGCTGAGCAGACTTGAACGGCCTCCTTTCCATGAATTACCTGTTGGTCAAAGGGGATGAAGGGCCGATTGATGACCATTGATGCCGATGTGTGTTTTTGCTTTTGCGGATTTGAAGATAGAGTTAGCTTGGAACGGTATTGTTGGTTGGGTGTGTGTCTTGTTGGCAAGTCTCCACAATGGCAGGTGAACATCCCCTTTCTCGAGTGTGTGTTGACGTTTCTCGGTGTTCATTAAGGGGTGTAGGTGTTGGACCCACAATAGGCAGCAGAAATTCGATTGACGATGCACTCACCATGGCCAGTAGCTTACCATTGGTTCCAAAGACGGTGCCATGTTATGATATGTTATGGACGTGAATGCTGTCTATAAGTAGGGCTGTCCATAACTGCTGTGGAAAGCTATCTAGGATGTTCTTGCGCCTCATGAGGTGGCGCCCTACGCTCATTGTAGTATATGTTAGTGATCATTGCATTTTGCTATAGTCATGCATTATGTTTTTTTAAGATGTATATTTTTCTGATCAGACACATGTGTTTTGCATGGTGGACACATGTACTTTGACACATGAAAATATAAGTTTCTTGTTTTTTTTTGTTTGTTGCATGCCACTATGGAAGCAAACACATGTTTTTTGAGCACTCACAACAAAGGTTTTTGGACTGCAGATTATGTGTTTTGAAGCGCTGAAAAAGTTGCATATCAGAGTTTTTTTTTGGCAGTAAGCAATACACAAAATATGCACACATGCTTTTGGAATCCTACACTTATGTTTCCAGATGGGTGCAATGTATACTGGAGATTGAAAGTTAATGATATCACATCTTCAAAAACAACATGTAGGTCCTACAGGAGGCATGATGTAGGATAAAAATTACATAAACATTCACATTTATCCTACATATTCTTCAGAATGTGGTAGGCTCATGAAGATATGCTTGCAGTGCATTTAAGAAGTATGAAGGGTTGCATGGCTGATGGAGTCAGAGACCGATACATACCATATTAATAATTTTCTCATGTGTGTGTAGAGAAATCAAGAAATTCAGTTCTTGCATTTGTCATGCTGCTAGTTCCTGGCACAAGGAGGTGTGACACACTAACGATAGCTTTTGCGCATTCTTGGAAAGGAAAGTGCTTCCCGCCTAACGCGGTAACAGTAGCGGTAACACCGCCTACGCGAGAAACACCAAAAGATGGCCATGCACTGTTGGTGTAAAGGTGACTTCCACTGCGTCTTGACACACTACTGAAGCACTAGGCTACTGGTTGACTCACCATGTTAAAAGTGGTGGGCAATGGTTGGGATCGAAAATCCAAACCAACTCACAAGGAAGGGGAAAAAGATATATGGCAAAGATTTCATGAAGAATTTGCTCGCAGTCTTCACTGGTTTTATTTCATAGTTGTATCAACTTGTGAACAAACCACGTGTTGTTCTTTATGCCAACGCACAAGTCTTGCCATTGTTGGGCGGAGGGATGCATTTGCATTGCATCCAGCTTTATTTGTTGGTTTGTTGGTGTCAGTTTTGCTTGTTGCGATGACGCAACTGGAGATCGCGTGAAGCCATCGTAAGTCGTGGCATGAAGGTAGATAGTAGACAGTAAGCATCACACATCTAGAGATAGCACCGATGCAGCACCCACCCATGCATCAGCATCTAGCGAGAAGTAAACCATGGCACCACAAGCAGCAACTACTGGAAGAAGTACTTGCAGCACTAGCAAAGAGTCAGCAAAAGCAGCAATGATCAATGACTAATTGACGACAACTGTAACACAATGACAATGTCCCAATGACCCAATGACAGCCTAACAACAACAGCAAGAACCAGCGAGCAGGAAAAGCGCTGTCGTCACAAGTGGCAGGCCCTCTGACATATGCATGTATGTCATAATCATCTATGTATGTATGTATGTATGTATCTATCTATGTATGTATCTATCATGTATGCATGTATGTATACATTGTATGTGGGTTTCTTGGCAAAGTTCATTGTATGAGTGTTGCAAAAGCTGTCACTATATTGTTGAGACACAAACTAACAGTAACATACAACATGCTCTTTTGTTTTTGTCAGTCTGAATATGATACTTGCGATGTCTCGTGACATCAGTGACATCACATCTCAGATTGAAACATACAAGAGACACGCACACAAGTCACACAAGTAGCGCAAGGCACAAGTCCAACAGTCTCATTCTCATGTTTGCTAGTACTGGGTGCAAATGGTCGCAACTGACCTGAATTTCTGAATCCGAGCCTGAATCCATATAAACACTACTTGCATTGGCATGAAATGCTATGTAAATGACACCGTGGGGCGGCCACTGGTTAGCCGCAAGAACATTTGGGCAACATTGACCAGAGGGTTGTGGACACCCTTAGTCTATAAGATTCTATAAGTATTTTATGTGTGTGTCCAGCTTTGGATGGCATCTTGTTGTGGAGAGCTGCTTAAACCAGGAGCCCATTCAGGATGTCTAAGAACTACCATAGAAAGATCCTAAGAACTACCATAGGCCACAAAACTACCCCAACAAACGGCCTCGTCCGCCAGGTGGTTACTCTCCCTGCTCTCCACCGGTCTCACCTTCGCCTTCGTGGCTTTGGCCTTGCTGGCGCTGCGTTTGCCCTGGAGCTCGGCGGCGACGCCGCTCCAGCTCTTGGGCTCACAGAGGGAGCGCCGGAAGCTCCGGCGCTTGGTACTGCCCGACACCTGCAGCTGGGCGGCTGGTAGGCAAAACATGGAAAAAGCATGAAAACAAACCTTTGGGGTGGGGGTGCAAACATAGGGGCCAGAATATATGATGCGTAACGTCTATACACTAGATTTTTTTAAGACAATGATAATGTGCAAACACGTGCAGGCGGAGAGCCTGGTGAGTCATATTATTGTGTTATAATATATATATATAGAGAGAGAGATGTGTGCTTTTGTTGCACAGATCCAGTAAGAGCCATACCATACTCTTGGCACCTGGAATGTTTTTTCTGCGCTAAAACACTCAGTCACCAGTTACCAGAGTTTGTCATCTAATATATACAATCTTCTTGCTCCCAGTCACAGTCATCCTCCGGAGGACTCTTCCTGGACCTGGTCCTACGGTGTATTCGTTTGGGAGAGACTGGAAAGGCCGCCAAAAGCAAGATTGCGAGGAGCTCAACCAAAAAGCAACATGCCCACCCTGGATTTGGAGGATTATTGGTCACCCAGAGGCCTCGTAACCTCCACTTCACCGCAAACCAGGTATTGAACGTGTAGACATGGCGGAGCGACGCCTCTCTCTCTTGGAGACTGGGTGTGAACGAGCTGCGAGTTCGGTGTGACATCTTGGGCGGAACTGGGTTGGAGCCTTTTGCATCGATACAAGATGACAATTATGACAATAATATGATATAAACATGGAATCATGCATTTGTGTTTTGCTGAACGTGGGCATGGCATAAAAACTGTTTGAGGTCATGGATAAAGTTTACCCCCATTTAAAACTAGAACGCATATCCCTACTAGACAGGACGTTCTTCACAAAGGGTGTTTTGTTCTGTTTGAAGTTTGAATGTTTGAAAGTTAGTATGTGTTTGTATGTATATAGAGAAGTTACAACCAAGCTTCTCAATTCTTATACTGGCTCTGTGCATTGTTTTCACGAGATGTTGAATACGTTGACTCGTCCAGCCAAATATGAGTGCGTGTCGAAGGCTCCTCACAGAATCCAGCACTTCCATGCATGAACGAATCCCTTGTGCATGTTGAGCACGAAGGTATTTTTGGTTTGGATGGGTCATTCCTAGCAGCCAGCACAACATTTACCTTTGCTGGCTTGAAACAGAGACCAGGAAAGTGAGTATCATAGAATCATACTTCCACTTAGCAGCTGAGCATTCAAAGCTGATGATCCAAATTCTGCCCAGTGCAAAGTCGAACAATCTCCATTTCTCTGCAAGAAAGCTCTGACGAGCTACACCGGTTTGTCTCCAGACTTTGTCAACTGCTTTGGCGATCTTCCCACAAGTCAAGACATCGTCTCACCCTTCCCCCTGACCGTCCGCACGAATCCTTGAGGAAGAGGAGAACTTGCAGAGCCTCATCCAGAGGAGAAATCAGCCTTTTGCAGATACAGTAGACTCATTGGCTCAGCAAACTCGGCCCTGTTTGAGAGTCTTGGTTTTCTGAGCATTCGCAAATAGAATGGATGAGAATGCTCCGTTGCAAGGCTTTTTGGAGGAAGCGTGGGTTTTGAGTTGACATTGAACTCCCAAAGCTATGCCTGACACTCCCATTCGCAGCGCGTTCGCAGCCGATGAGTCTTGCCAGACCGCAGGAGAGATTGGAGTGCCTTGTACGAGCAGACCAAACATTTGGGAGCCAAAGCTTATGGGACCATGGTCAGTATGACCATGGGAAAACCTGAGGTTCCTTGGACCAACACTTGATTTCCGGCGTTTCACACCCGTTTTGTTCCGCGCCAGCCAGGTCGTTTGGGTCACCCGATGTGAAACCGACTTGTAGTTCGCAGAGTGCAATGTGAGTCACGTGAGCTTGCTTCGAAGGTGTCTCCCATGTGCCTCGTTTTCGCACGCGTGAAAAAGGCCTGGTGGATGGTACATCAAGTGAAGCAAGAAGGGCTGGAAGAGATGGACTTGAAGCCGGTGGTCGTCTTTGTGAACACGCGTGGCTTGTCTCTTGTGGTTGGCCTTGACGTTCAGTGATTCGATGGGTTTCCTTATCTTTGTCTATATATATATAGCATTATATAGCTGTTTTGGTGTGGCTGATATGGCTTGGGTCAACATGGGTCAACAACAACTAAATCCCAAGAAGACTGGGTAGATGAGCCTTTCAGACAGACGATTCAATTTGGAACCATCAGAGGTTGGCTGGATTCTCATGATCCGCAGACCCCACCCAACCACCTGACCCTTTCTTGTCAGGGAGTGGCGGGCAGCAGGGCATGAAGGTCTTAAATGCTCCTTGGCCGAATTGTCGAAGACACTGGGATTTTTGACCACCCGATTTTTGCAAATTTCAACTTCCTTGCATGGTGTCTAAGCAGAACTAAGAATCAAGGTGTTCTTCTATCAGTCTATCAGGACTCAATTTCAAAAACTTTGTTGGATGCTCAGTGTATTGCAGAGTAATGTCAACCTCTGATTAATAAACCGCCCCCCCCCACATGGTAGGTCAAGAAGGTCTGAGATACCACTCATAAGGTCCACCTCCCCTGAATTATCGGCTCAGGGAGCCATCGTAGTCGCAGTCGTCGTCGGTAGTAGGTAGTAGGTAGTACTAGGTAGTAGGTAGTACTAGGTAGTAGTAGGTAGTAGTAGGTAGTAGTAGGTAGTAGTAGGTAGTAGTAGGTGGTAGTAGGTGGTAGTAGGTGGTAGTAGGTAGTAGGTAGTAGGTAGTAGGTCGTAGGTCGTAGGTAGGTCGTAGGTAGGTAGTAGGTAGTAGTAGGTAGTAGGTAGTAGGTAGTAGTAGGTAGTAGGTAGTAGTAGGTAGTAGGTAGTAGGTAGTAGTAGGTAGTAGGAAGTAGTAGGTAGTAGGTAGTAGTAGGTAGTAGGTAGTAGTAGGTAGTAGGTAGTAGTAGTCACAACAAGTTTAAACAAGCACAAAGAAAAGGCCAGGGACACAGGATCAAATTAATAGGGGGTAGTGCAGATTATTGATGGGGGACCGGCCCTTGTGAGGGGTACCCTTTGTGAGCTTGTTAAATGATTGTGTTTAATTGTTTTTTAATAAGGCAATTTATAGGCCCTGAGCCCTAGACATGTTTAAGGCTTTCATCAAACATGTAGTAGGTAGTAGGTGGTGGTGGTGGTGGTGGTGGTGGTGGTGGTCGTGATAGTAGCACGTAGCAGTAGCAGTAGCAGTAGCAGAGCAGGAGCAGGAGCAGGAGCAGCAGCAGCAGCAATAGCTAGTACTAGTAGCAGTAGCAGCAGCAGCAGGAGGAGTAGTAGTAGTAGTAGTAATACGAAAAATTGACCTGGCTGTGGGCTCGGATTAACTGGGGGGGGTTTCTGATGCCCAACTAGAAGATTAGGGGGGGAAATAGGCACGAATAATACTTTTAATTTGGGCAATTTCTGGTGGGTTTGTGTCTTCGGATTAACTAGGGGAGGTTTATTAATCGTAACTTGACATTAGAGGAATTATGTCCATCCAGTTCATTTGAGTCTAAGTCAAGGTAAACAAACGTAATCCTCACATTTGCTTGCAGCTGGCTCAAGCTGCCCACATTGCGGTTTTCCTCAAGGGAAAAAGCAGCTTTGCCTGGCATGGCCAGTGACGCATCGGTGAAATCCACCATGCTCATGGCGGTGTTCACGAGCATCATGGCAGCCTATCCATTCTACGCCATCATTGCGAAGTTGGAAAAGCCAGACTTGGAGACATTTGTGGTTTGGCCCAAACAACTTACCATAGTCGGGCAAAGGTACACAGTTCAATTTCACTTTCTTGTTGAAGAATCGGAACTCCAGTCATTGTCACAAGATTAGCGAATGTGGTTGACAATATGTTGTATATATACATATATATTTGTTATATAATAGGATATATATATATATAGTAGGTTTGTTTCCAAGATATGCTAAACGCCATGTGTTCAATGGCCACCAGCCGCATCTACTTGCCCAGGTGCCATGCAACGACAGCCCATGCAATTTTCAGCGGCTTTTTACTGGTGCAGGCATTCCTGGCACTGCTCCAGACGTGTTGGGTGTGCAAAATGGCATCGCCAGACCAGTCGTGACTGGGCGGAGCGGAGAGGTGCAGTATTCCCCACCTGTCAGGTGAGAGTTGTTAGATTTGACGCAAGATTTATGTCAGCTCATGCCCTCCTCCTCCTGCCAAACCTCAACCAACACACAATCACAAACATAACCACAAACACAGACACAAACACAACCACAACACACAACCACAGCACACAACCACAACACACAACCACAACTGACAACCACAGCACACAACCTGAGGACCCACAAGCAAAATCGAGAACCACAAAACTCGCGACTATGGCAACATGCTTCTCACCATGGCATGAAGACAAATGATTGAAATGCCTTGGTGGGGGTCACTCGAAGGAAGGTAATTTGTTTGGAACATTTTGGAACAGTGCTTTCGAAGAACACTATGATTGCAATCACCACATTGTGACAACTTCAATAGTCACTATAGGACTCTGGGTTCCCCCCTGTTTACATGATTTTGGCTGGTGACATTGCAAAACAGCTCTTCAACTCTTTCAGGGGTTCCCAGTGACAGAGGTGATCAACGACGAGTTCCAAGCAGTTCCAGTCGACTTTCAGTTGGTTGAGGCTCGCATCCTGGTGCGTAGTGTTTTGTACGTTGTTGGGATCAATGACTATGTTTGGCCATGTGCTGAACAGAACTGCACCTCCCTGATTTCTCACGCTGTTCAATTCTGAGCATATGGTTTTTTTTGCGTAGATGATGAATGGAGTATTTCAGTTGGGTTGACGATTGACACTTGGGATAGCTACTGGTGGCAAAAGTCCAGTCGCATCGATTTTGCTACCAAGATGGTGCACCAGTTCCGCTCCAACCAGTCTGCAGCGCTTTCAACACATGGCTTGCAGGCAGAAAAGTATGTGTGGAACAACAAAGCTGTACAGGCCATGTACAAATTGGTGGCTTCACTTCTCAGCTTCTACTTCAGTTCGGTTCTATCGATCCTTGGAGAGCCCATTGTTAGTGGTCCAGAAGAGTTGTTGGATGGCATTTGCGACATGACTCCCCAAGAAATGAGAGAGATGTGTGCAAGCAAGGAGATGAAAGAATTAATCATAGCAGACATGAGTCAGGGTCGGTGTGCCGTGGTCTACACTGCATGCCTGGTCTTGTGGGTTTTAGTCAAGTCGGTGCATGACTTGCTGCTCTTGAGTGGATGCAAAGAAGAGCTATCGTTGCATTGTGGACTGCTATCGATACCAGTACAAGGGGCTTTAGCAGCGAGTTCAGGTTTGCTTTTCATTGCAGCATGTGAAGTTTTTGTTGCACATGTGCCTGACCAGCACTTCCAATGCTACTACAAGATGAGGGACTTGGACGCCATGATATTTTTGGCGACGCCTTTTGTGTTGACCATGGTCTACTACAAAAAGTTGCATACAATTAATTTGTCTTTGCTTGTTGGAGATGTTCTTTACTACCGATCCTTTGACATACCTTTTCGTTTCGTCAAGACACATGAAGGATGGCCGAGCAATGGGCTGATGCAGCCAACTGTCACAGGTAGTACAGCACAACAGGAGCTTTGTGAACGAAGAATCCCAAGTTACAGTTTGCTGGTATCCTGGAGTTCTTTCTTCGGGCTTACCAATATTTGCATCATGCTTATTGGCGTCCTTGTTTGGGGTGTATTCTTCGCAAAGATGATGATGCTCCTAACAATGATGGCAATGGAGCCTGAACTTCAGCTGCGGCTGCCAGCGAAGCTTCTGTTGGGGGCACCTGCTCTCTTGTGCTTCTTGTCGATGATTTGGTCTTGTAGGAGTCTTCTCGGACTGGACTACTCGGCTGCAAATAAGGTTGTCTCCGTTGTGTCCGCAGCCTTTCTGCCTTTTTTCATGCTTTGTTTGATGCCTCCTTTGGACCTGGTGGCTGGTCGGGCTCCAGCTGAAGTTGACTTGCTGTGGTGCTCAACCCGTTGGACAGTCGCAGGTGGCCTGTTCACATTGAGCATGTTTAGCCGCATATTCTTCAACCTAAATGGTGGCCACAAGATTAAAAACACTGTGGATGCTTGCCTTTCTTATCATAGAGATTACAATTTGGACACGTCAGCGTTTCACTCGGCTCTTCCAACTTGGGGCTCTCAGCTGGAACATAGATACCTCCTCCCGGAGTATGAGTTGCCAACGAGTGAAGAGTGCCACTACAAGTACTCCAAATTAAGACCATGTCCTGACTGATGCCAAGAGCCTTAAGTTTCACAGTTTCACATTGGTGTTCACACATAAAAATGGTGCCGAAGATTGCTGTAGGCATCTACAGGCTTTATCCTAAGCGTTTCTAAATGTTGCCATGTGTATTGCTCTCAGCCGGCTCGGCTTAAGCTTCCATTGTTTGTTGGTGCTTTCAAATCCTTGTAACCAAAGAAGCTTCGCTCTGCTTAGCTGGGTCAGGAGATGCAAGCCTACTTGCACATTGCTCAGCTGGTCGACCTTCAGCGAGAAGGTCCTGAAGCGGCCCTGCGCTGGTGGGAGAAGACCACTTTGAGGTATCGCATTCTCGTGCGCCTGGGATCAACAATAGATGTTTGTGGTTCAGGCGCTCCAGGTGTAGCTGTTGTTTCAAGGACTAACGGTCTGACGATTTGCATCTATTTGCAGGGATGGTACAACTTTTTTTGCTTGGACTCTTTAGGATGACTAGCGGCTATAGTTGCTTGGGCAAGCTTTGGAGAGTTCTTCCAAATGTTTCTGACCGCTTCAAGTCCCAATCTCCCACAACCACAACCACCGCCCACCACCTACCAAGGTGTGGAGGCGATGGTACTGTCGGTTGGGTCTTAGGCGGGCCCTCCGCGCGCATATGGTGTGGGGCTCGCCGATCCACGCTGCATCAGAATTGCAGAACAGCTGATGGTTGTTTCATAAGGTGTGTCAGACATGTTCAAAATAGTCCCGAAAGCCCCGCACTCGCCACCCCAAAGCCACCTATTTAGATGATAGATAGCTCTGGAATGATCAGGATAAAGGATGCACAAAGTTTCACAAGTAAAGGAGCCGATCAAGACTGCCAGAGACCATGGAAAATCGTGCTCCCAATTAGTCGATCATTGACCACTCGCATGATTTGTCCATATTTGTCCATCATTGAATGTGGGAGGGGGGAGAATTCAGATGAATTCGGGGTGTGTTGTTACCGTCCCCCCTTCTGTCGCAGGTGCTTTAGAACCTTGCATTTGCTTCAGATCACGTTTTCCTTTGTGTTTGTCCCCAGACTTGCAGAGTGGCCCGCTTCGTACCACCAACTTCTGTTCTTTTGGCTAAAGTCGAAGAAGACATGCCAAAAACTCAGCTCCAAGCACCTCAATCACCATGGCGCCTCCATGAGGTCCAAGCACCAATGCACCAAGGAACAGTTGGACCTCAGCTACATCCCGCCTTTGGCCATTCTTCCGCTGGGCACCGGCAACGACCTCGCCCGGACCTTCGGCCCCCTGGGCTTGGGACAGGAAGGGGGCAGGGGACCAGGCCCTATAGTAGTTGGGGCAAAGACGGCAAAGTTCATCATGAATAGTATTGTAATATATTGTAATGTACTCTATATTGTATAATGATTATATTGTTCATATATATCATATATATATAGTATGTGTACGTATGATTACTGTATATGAATGTAGTATATAGTATACATGATGCAGAAGTATTTTCAAGGTGTGAAAACCTACTGGGATCACTAGTGGCACCATCATTTTTGGATTTGAACTTGTCTTTGATTTGCTCTGGAAGGAATGGTGCAGTATTACTTTGGCTTGCCAGGTCTCCAAATTTTGTGGAAAGCACATCAAGACGCATCGGAGACCAGATGGTCCAACACGAGAGAACTTGCAGTGGTTGACAAATATCAGACTGCAGGCCGACAGACTGGTTCATGGTTGCATTGTTAGTTTCTGGCCATACCCGTTCGGAGCAGCTGGTCCCAGTGTAGACTTCTTAGGCTCAGTGCCTATTGCCCCATGGCAGAATCAAAATGGAACAACTTCAGAGGGAACAACGCCGTTGGGGGGACTCTCTCAGTGCCAGACTAAGTCCGGTTTTTTGAATCATTGGGCGTTGTCATCCACTGCGTCCAGCGGTCTTGCCCAGACCCACAGCTTTTCTCGTGTTTCTTTCCTTGATGGATCCAGATGGTTTGATTTGGGTCAGTAATGTCCCATGCCATGCCTTGTGTGGCCGGAGTTGCGAGGCTGGGGCGGCGGCTACACCGGCAGCAGCGTGTTGCCACTGTTGCAACAAGTGGGCAGGGCCCATGTGGAGCTGCTCGATCGGTGGACTGTGGCCTGGATGATACTAGAGACGCGCTTTGTGGGTAGCCTTTGGGTGAGTGGGAGCTTTGGTAGTACTGTAATTCATGTAGTTGACTCTTGATGAATAGAACCCCCGCTACCCTACCATAATGGTTTTACTAGTCTACACTATTACCTCCCTAAGTGTGGCGGGGTTGTGCCAGTCTACATTAGATGAAACCGTGTGGTTCGTGCTTCGCTGTTTTAGCTAGCTGATGGTTCTCCTCTCTAAACCTAGGGACCGGGAAGGACGAGCAAACGAGCAGGACATGATGCTGCTTTGGGTAGGGGGTAGGGGTGCAAAAGGTGGGACAAAGATTGACACAGTGTCCCTTCTATTCCCCAAGAACATTCGAGGTATGTTCTGAGACCCTCAGATTTGAATGTTTCAATGAGAAGGAGGAAGGCCATGGCAGGGCTTACACCGGTCACGACATGTCGACGTCGCTTCAGGTGGCATCTCGCATCTCGGTTGCAGCAGATGGCGGTTGCCGACGGCCGTAGACCTTAGTACGTACACAACCACCAAGGCTCAATGTGTTCCTATCCAGTCAGTGGAACCTTTTTTGGAGATTAATGTTCATTCATTTTCCCCACTACAGAACAGATGGAACAATTGTTCATCTTTTGTCAAAAGGAGGAGCTTTGGCATTTTCTTCCATGGCGATGCGCCACACAGATCCCTCAGGGTGGCCCACGGTCGTGCGGGGATCGTCATGTGTTTGCTTCAGAGCTAGCAGTCCACATGTTGTCCTCCAGTGAGGAGGTTCGACCATGAGTAGGTGAGTCATGTTACTCAGTTTATGTTCTTGATGCATGTGGAGGATTCTGATGATCAATAGAATTGACTGTAACTGGTGTTGTACCAAGACAGTCCAAGACCATCAAAGCTAGATTAGCACGTATCAATGGTTGAAAGAAAGAAACTGTTGCAGACTGCTGGCATATGCCTGTGATGTTCGCCACAAATCCCGAGACATCTTTTCTGATCATTTCTTGCCCCATAATTCAGAATCTTGCCCCATCGCTACCGGTAACAAGGGCATCGGTACTAGGAGCGATCGGACGCTACTAGTAGCTCCTGGCCTTACTGCTAGTAACAAGAAGCTACTAGGACACCGCGGTGCAGTGGACCGCTTCCGCGGACCTCTTCGCTTCTTAGGATCTGTGGAGGACAAGCGGCCCTCCTTCCTGCCCGGCGGATCACAGCCTCCGCGGGAGCGGAAGACTCTGACGATGAGCAACTACTTCGGCATAGGCCGTGGGATCCGTGGGATCCTTCCCTGGGGCTCACAGAGTCTGAAGGACTACTAAGCCACCGGATCTTCGTGGATCTGCGTGATTTTCCGGTGGGAGGATGAGTTTGCCGGTAGAAATCCACCGGAAGAGCCAGTTTCATCAACTCATGACCAGATCTTTACACTCCTCACCACCCGTAATAAGAGTTGGGAGTTTCAAAAAATGTGTGTAGGTTCAATGTTGTTTCAATTCCCCTCCTTAAAGCCTTTGAAGGCTTGGAGCTGGGTGTCCATAAACCACTGCTTGCGTGGCTTGATACATGTGATGCCATTGATAGTTTGCTCTTCTGTATGTGAATGTGAATAGGCTGCTGTTACGAACCAGCAGCAACAAGATTGAACATGCAATTGTACCCATTGTCGAACCTCACCAACCAAAATCTTCTAAGTTACTGTCACCAGCTTGAATTCTTGGAGGGTACCAGCCAAGATTCCTGAAATGTACCTGGGAAAAGCACCGGTTGGCAACCACTTGGCATATCTTGGCAACCACTTGGTACCCCTGCTTATTTGGTTCACGGATCGTCCAGGTGTGGATGTCCTTAGCTACTAGGAACAAGTGCCTTACTAGTAGTAACAAGAAGCTATTAGAATTAAACTATATAAAATTAAATTAACTAATAGCTTCTTGTTACTACCAGTAAGGCACTTGTTACTACTAGCGATGCACTTGTTACTATTAGAAACAAGAACGCTACTTGTTTCCACGGATCGTCCAGGTGTGGATGCGGCGGTGGCCTTGGACTTCCACCAGATGCGTGAGCGCCGTCCAGAGTGGCCACTTGGTGAAGCAACACGCCGTGCGGCCGTGCCGCCCCGCGTTGGTGCTGTTCAAGCAGGAACGTTGGTGGGGGTGTTTTTGTACTGTCACATGTTTAAATGAATGCATTCTGAATCTCTGAAGGTCGGTTTGGGTGGGTGGGTTTTGAACGGTTTGGATCAGATGGCATGAATGAAGATGGATGGGTAAGTGGATGGGTATATCGATCGTTATGGATGACTGGTTCGTGGAATCATGTGGAATCCACTCCGATGAAGAGCCCCTGTTCCCTACAGATGCAGCAACCTGGACTTGAGATCCTATATGTTGTCTATGTTTTTGGTGATGTATATTATGATGTTTTTGTTGCAACGTTTTTGTTGGGTCCACATTGGACCACCTTCCATGGCAGCAAAAACCATGGTGTTGAGAAGAAGGTCGGGTCGAGGTTTCAACTGGTGCCCCAACTGGTCGGTCCAAGGAAGTAGAACAGTGTACGCCGGTGCATCATCAACCAGCGCCAAAGAAAGAGCCGGGCCTCAATGTTTGATTCATTCCCTATAAGCCTAAATGATGGAACACGGTTCATGCCCAAAAAGGTGTCTTTCTGGATTGCTCCGATTGCTTCAGGTTTTGGTCTCGACTTGTCAACAAGCTTTGGTACTTCAGGACCGGTCGAGTGAAAATTTCTGCGCAGCGAGCGGAGCGTGTGTGACACACCGTGTGCCACCGAAAGAACCAGGTATGATAGGTTCCTCCCGATGTCATCTCGGGTTCCTTGGGATTTGTACCATCAGGTGACACATGTTTAAAGCCATCCGTGGACAGCAGTGAAGCATGTTACATGGCTATAGGCTATAGTCACAATAATGGTTTCTTTCCAAAACTTCACACAATCGGAGGATCCTCAACTCATCGGATAACCCGTTTTTATCCACGTGTCATTCGGGATTGGCCGAGGTGGAAACCCCTCGAGTGAAGCGATGAGCAGTTTTCCGAATTCAATTCCCTGGGTGTTGAAGTAGGATACCCCATTGTATACCCGAACCCAGTGACGGAGAGGTTTTGAGAAATGAGCACTGAACCATTTGTTTCTTGTTGTAATGTGGATGAATGCTCAACCAGTCCATCTCAGATGCATGCCCAATCGGGGAGGAGTGGTTATATCAACTGGATGGGAAAGACCTGCGCCAACATTGGCAGCCACTGGGACAATCCGGGAGAAAGGGAGACGGCCAAGGGTAGGCAAGTAAAGAAATCGCATGAAATCGTGAATCAGCTGGTGTAGAGCTTGTTTCTATTGTATTTCAAGCCCGTTGATAGTGTTAGTGAACGCTTTTGGCTCGGATTCTGGATACGCAGTTTTACCACCAGTGGAACCACTGAAGTCGGTGCAGTGTTTGCACACATGAGACAAATCCCCCACACGGGACAAACAACCGTTTCACGGAGGTGCTTAGGCCACCGGTGGCCTGTGCACAGAGTGTCAGGGGTTCTTGGCTTCATGGTTGTAATTTTTGTTGAAGCTACCAGGTTAGAACAAATGCTGCTAGAATGAAGCGTACAGCGTACGTTTGAGTTTGCGCTGTGCTTCCTGCGTTTCCCTTTTGCCGCCTGTTGTTTTGCAACTGAGGCAAAATAGAAGTGATTTGTGAGCCTGGCCTGCAAAGAGATTTGCAAATCATGGGGTTTAATCAAGAAAAAAGAAGAGGCAGTTCTCAACCAGGGGATTGGGACAAGAAGTGGGGCCAGTTTAGTCGTCATGCAAACGGAGACTTTTGAGAAGTGGTTGACAGCATGTGATAATTTTTCTATTTGGCCGAACACCCAGGAGCTTTGAGGATAGTTGATTCGTCTTTTTGGGAACAGACATCTGGGATGACATTTAGCTGCAATGAAATGTATCTTTCAGATCGACCCCAACGATCCTCACGTGGTTTCGTCATGTTCATCCTCACGGGCCTCACCGCGGTTGGTTCGCGTCTCCCGCGGTTTCTTCGATTCTCGCCCAGGATGGCGAAGCGGCCCCTCGGACTCGACCGATGGCGATGGGACAGGGGGATGAGAATGGGGATGAGGAGAAGGAAGACTCATTGTCAGGGAGATTGTGGGAGATGGGTGAATTTTGATAGTAATTCTATGTAATTGTCAGGTCGTTTGAAGGAGTTTGGGGGGCATGTTGAGAAAGCCACTCACTTGTTTCGCAGCCACTGCTTTTGTGCCAGCCATGCCCTGGAATTTTAAGAGACCGAGGGTGTATTCCTCCTTCGCTGCTAAGCAACAGAAAGCACGACACTGGCCAAAGGTGTCCCAGGTATGTTAAGGAAGCCAGGAAGCACCTAGCAACCGACAAGCAGGTTTGTTGAAGGGAGAGTGTTTGCTGCGCGAGGGTTGTGTGGTCGTTTGCTGCCCGATGCACCGACAGTAGCTTTCTAAAAGTCGTGCTCTGGAGGAACCCTGCCTGGTGTGTGTTGCTTGCCACACCGCTCGGGTCCGCCATCAGGTTGATATCCCACCGTCCTTGGAAGGGGTCATCATCCTGAACATCCCCAGCTTTGGTGGAGGCGTGGACTGTAGATGACTGTGGGACCCCTTGGATTGCTTGCTTTCGAACGGAAAACGGCTCAGGGCGCCCCAAAACCACCTCAGAAAGCAACATACAGTATAAATAGAAGGATGTAAAAGGATTGAAGATTGAACAGGAGCCACCAGTTGAAGATGGTGGAATCCTTCCTAGTTGTGGGGGGGAGTCATGTGTGATACATTTGATACTTAAATGTTGTGTATTATACTGTATATGTGGATGCAAAAACACATGAGGCACGGGCCATGGGAGGTGGGCCGTCCATGTTCTTCCTTGACCACCCGGTTTGGCGGCCCATGGCCCGGCCTGTTCGGATCGCCTTCGTTGAACCCCGTGAGGCTCGGACTTGTGGGGCCGAGCGGAAGATGAAGAGACCGAGCAGTGCGCCGCTTCGATCGCACCGGGACGCACCGGACGTAGCACGTCGGGTGGCGTGGGAGCACCGGGGGGGAGCGCCCGAAACTGCTGCGTGGCATGGGCCGACGGGGCGAGATGGGAAGGCGAGACTGCTTCCAAAAGGAGTCCAATTTGCAATCATGCAATTTGTGCCTATGGAATTCAGATGTGAGATCTGACGACTGAGTCATGAAGAGATGGACTCGGGCAATATATCGGGCATGTCTCTCCCAAACCCAACCGAACCGCCGATCCATGTCACCGCCGGTTCTGCTCTGCTCCGAACCGAAAAGGATGATTCCAGCAATGGAAAAGACCGGGTTCAGTACTAGGAGCAAATAGCTACTATAGGAGCAAAGGGCATGTCACAGCTACTAGTTACTAGTAGCTCCTGGCATCACTACTAGTAGCACATATGGCACAGACTCAGACCGAACGAGTCGCTCCAAGTTTTGGGTCAGACGAGCCGTCGACCCGAATGACCCGGATGCCATTTGTCAGGAGAGCGATTCGGACAGCACCGCTCCCTCGGTCTCTTCAGCCGCTTGGGCTGAAAGTATATTATGACTCCGACTTGGGTTCATTTGTGTGGTTTCAGGAGAATCCTTTGCAAGGTTTGCGTGTATAAACCTTATCTGGTCAGTGGATAAACCTCTTACTATATACGCAAAAAAATGTTATTTTTTGTTTCAGAGAAACTGAAGGAGTCAGAGATAGAAGGTTCACTTCACGTGAGTCACATGAATAAAACATATATATATATATTATATATATATATACGTTACATCCAGAAGTGTTTATATTATATATACGTCATTGAACTAAGCGGTTTCCCCACGAAATTTCACACCATCGTGATGAGCCGGGCCCAGCCTTGGAAATCGATAAGACTTGACGTCATACCGACTCGGTCCAATTGAGGATTTTAGGGTGCACATAAAATGTGTTGGAATCCAAGAGGGGTTTCAAGATGATTCAAGTGCAGGGACCCAACTTGCTTCGCACTGGTGTAACAACACTTGATTATATCTGTACCCAAAGGATGGCTATTGGATGAAAAACAGATGGTCAGTGGGGTCTATAAACCAGATATTGCTCCTGTTCCACAGGGATGCGGCATTTTCAGGCACCTGAGGTACGTGAACAACCAACCTGTCCAGCCTTGGTCCTTCCTGAAGTCTCATCCTTTGCAGCGCCCCGAACGAAGACACCGAGCACACTGGGAGACCTCTTCCGGGAGACCGGCGAGCCCGGTGCACGTCCAGCGAGGTGAATTGGAACTCCTCGGGCGCTCCGCGGAGGCAATCGATGCAGGATGGACAGTTGGAGGCACCGTATTTCATGGATCTACCGCCGTTTCCGCGGTCGGGTGGAAGACGCCTGGACATGCCTGGACTTGAAAAGAAGGACCTTGGGGTGCAAGAAGACGTAGTTTCGGGGGAGACCGTGGTCTGTGGCCAAGAAGATCACAGAGAATGCTTTTCACGGTTTGGAATCGAGGTGATCCAGATGTTTGGTCAAAGCTAGGTCAGAGGTCCAGGTGTAAGTGTAATTACAGTAGGTGAGACGAGGAATGGGAGATCCTTAGGCGTGAGTTGCTTTGGACTGTTCCTTCCAAGATAGCATAATAATCAGAAAAGTAGTCAAAACATCCTCAAGTTGAATCAAGTCCATAGAAAGCTGTAAAAATGGTTCTACCACAGGATTGTTTATTCTCTGAAGGAAGAGTCCAACATGTTAAACTTGGAGCAGTGCAATACAGTCCTCGAAGAAAGATCATGGGAGTGAGATATCTTGCAATGACAATAAAAGAAGCCTGAAGGGATGTAGGTGGGATGCACATGGACAGTCAAAGAGGTGGTTTAAGGTCGTTCAGGGTGATGACTGATGACAGTACTGATGGCTGATGAGCAATTCACACCAAGTCTAGATCTAGATCCAATCGATCCGCAAGGTGTACTTATTTTGTCTACGGATCTACCACAGGAAAGAAGAGCTTTATAGTAAGCCTTGACTTTCAAAGCAAGAATCCACATGGGCGGTGCCATTAAGGTTGCTTGTTGATCTACCCCCCAGAAACTGCCTCAGAACTGGATCCGCTGCTTTGGATCTGCGCGACGACCGAAACCGCGGGACATTGGATCCGGTTCAGGTGGTCGGCGTGCACGGAGCGCTCCAATTGGGCGCCAGTCAGGTGGCCGGGACCAGAGCGAAGGAGATTTGGACATCCACAGTTCAGTTTTGAGGACATCAGACATGGATGCTGAAAAGATGGCGGATGGGAGAGGTGATCGGTTTCTTTGGTCTGGATGTTGAATCAGCAGATCCTGAGCATTTGTGGGTTCTGGAGATGAAACTGACCAAACAGACTTTGTGAGGGAAAGATGTGTCCTTATGATACCCGGCTGAAGACTAACATGGACCCTGAAAAACGACTGGTGTGTAAAGGCAAACATGTTTTTGTTTCTGCTTTTTTTTTTCAGGGTGCCATTCTCAGGGTCCATGTTAGTTTTCGGGAGTGTACGTTCTGTTTGATGATAGAGTCATGTCAGTGTTGCTGAGTTTATATGAATTGTCCCCGGAATTCAAATCATTTCGGTATGGACTGCAGGCAAGGTTTGCCACCCTGCGACGATGGGAACGTGTCCTTTCGAAATGATGCCTTGTGTCAAGCGAACAGATATGGCAACTGTTCGATGAACCCTGTGGTGATTTGAACTTGACTCCTACGCTCCCGTGCTCGATAAGCGAAAGGGCAGTCAATTCGCAAAACACCGGGACAGTCTACACTGGAGAACAATGGGGACCGCAGATCTACTCCCTTTGGGGAGTTGTTTTTGTTGCTACCAGCTGGCTGCTAGCTTGCGGTTTAAAAATTCGGTCCAAAGGATCATGTAGGAGAATGTATATTGGTGCCCTGCCATCTATGTGGCTGGACTTCTGGGGCACCTTCAACGTTTACATCACTTGACAGTTGTTGCGAAGCTGCATCTTCAACAAACTGCCACCGGATGCTTTATTTGGTTTCTCACGTGTTGGTTGAAGGAAAATTTTCTTGTTGAGGGTACGGGGAAGGACAACCCTCGGCTCCACAACGGCAGCTGAATTGAAGATGTTTAGCCTTGCTTGTTTGTCAGGTGGGACTCTACAAGGCACAACGCCTAGCGCAAGGTTCGGGGCCTTGTGCCTTGCGGGTGGGGATGGAAAGCTTCACCCAAATAGATTGTGCACATCCAATTTCTCATGTTTCGATGCACGTCCCCATTGGGGATGACGAGCGTTTGTCCAACTGAAACTGATTTGTGGTTTCCACAAGGGGATGGCCCATGGCCTTGAGAATCCGATGATTCAGGATGGCCTGAAGCCTTTGTCTTTGCGTGTCCATTTACCTGATTGTTTTGTGACCATTTGTTTGTGTGAATAGTACGGTTGATCTCACCCGCGCATGGCAGTCAACGCACTACCTTTCGTTTGTCGAAAGCATGTTTGGCCATGCCAAAAGCCTTTTGTCATTAGATGTTCTATCATATTTCTCTCTTGGTGGTTTGGAACTAGATTAACTAGATCAATCACCTACCTTAGAGTGAAGATGAGTCAAGTATTCTTCCACCCAACTTCGTTCCTGGCTCCGCTCTCGTCGCGATCAGGATCCCATATCAAGGTGACCACCAAGGCCAGGGCCGTTGGGATGGTTTCGCCCTTCGTGATTCCAAAAACACCGACACCAGCACGAGGTCGGCAACATCCATCAAGCCTTAATGTGGAGGATATGTGAAATGTTGCAGCTCTTGTAAAGAAGATTTCTTAGGCAGGTGAAGTTATGTCATGTCAGAATGTTCCAGAAGGATTCAAGAAGCTTTCTGACTAAGCCGGGATTGTCATGAATGTTCTACGATTCATTGTCTTCTTCTTGAAGTTGCGTCCTGTCAGGTTGCTTTGCCCACAGAGGTGGATGGAGAGCCCAGCTGGTTTGCCAAGGCAGGTTCGTGGACTCGACTGGACGAAGACTGAAGACCAGTTTGATGAGACCGCGACCTGCACCGATCTACGCACTCTTGAGCAAACTGACCCGCACTGACCTACAATCCAATCTTTGATGTGACACGAATAGATGTGACTTGACAACATGAGTTCCTTTGGTCACTGACAGGATGGTGTCATTGAGATCAGCCACAGGGGCCAGGCCAGGCGCAGCACCCACATCAAATGTGGACGAACGTGTGTAGCATTGTCTCCGTGTTTTGTGGGGGGTGGGCGAAATCTTGTTTTCAAGGAGGGATCATGATCAAAACACGGAGATTCATAGCGGATCATGATCAAAACACGGAGATTCATAGCAAAGACTGTGGTTCAGATGAGCTCGGACAATTCATTCATCGAAACATATCGAGACATTGTTTGGTGGCGCGTGTGATGTGTGTGTGTGTGTAGGATGCCAAGCCGCCCAGCTCACACCAAACTATCAAAGCAAATCTGGCCATTGACTTGAACAGTTCTTGCCTCCATAGACGCGGAAGCGTCCAATCTTGTACAGGCACCGGATGTCAGAGCGTCCAATCCAAAACCCTCCTGATGCCATTTGCCAAGCGTGAGCGCGAAATCCAGCGTGAGGCCTTTATGCTGGTGAACAGTAAGGAGACCTCGCATGCAGTGGCGACTGATGTGGTGGACTGGGCCTTGCATCACAAAATCATCAACTTGGAGCAAAGGCCCACAGAATCCACACGAGGGTGCAGAGGGTGGTGCTTGGGGAAGAGTGGTCTAGAGTCTAGATGGTTTCTACTATTGGAAAATAATGTCCTTCTTTTCACAGGATCTCAGCAACAGCGTCCTCCACGACATAGACAGAACTGTTCGCATCCAATAATAGAAACTGATGAGTCGACCAAAAGACCACGCCTTCCGGACGCAAGGCACCGGATGCTCAAGGAGATTGCACAGAGGGCCGGGGCGCGACACTTGGAAAGAAAGCCGTCGACGTGGACGCTGCAAGTTGTTGTGTTTGTCGAGTCAAATGGGATGTTCGGTTGTGGGACTGTGTCATTCTAACTCTTATACGTTTGGTCGGGCTTAGGACTCGGGGGAGGCATTGGATTTTCACACCTTTCGCTGGACCGTTTCGCTCGACGCCCCTCGATCCAACGCGACATCAGGAAAGCCCAATTCCTGGACTCGCTTGTCTCCTCCCGACTGAGAACTCCGCACGGGCTGACCAGCTGTGCTGTGAGACCCAAAAGAACGCTGTGTGACGCTGCTGTGATGGTCTTGCCCAGGGTATAAACGTGGTCTTGGCAGGAAACAGAAGGTTGATTGATTTGTTGGATTCATAGTCACAGTCGGTTCCATTTTGACCCAGAAGGTAGGACATTGGGATCTTGTTTGGAATTGCCTGGGCTGTGGAGGACTGCAAGGTGCCCAACATGGAAGCTGTGTGGCTTGTTACATGAATCGAAACGGAAAGAACCCAGGTTTTTCATGCAACTGGACGGTGGCAACCTAGACTGCCATTGGAGACTTGTTCTAATAGCAAAGGGCCGGCGTCAACTTGTAGTGTATCCGAAAGGAAAATGGACTTGATTCTCTCAGGCTTCTTCCCGTGCAGCATGTTGACCAACAGCAAATTTCTGGCAGCGCGGTCCGTGTCCACCAAGGACACCGTGAGCCCGGAGGAGGCTGTTTCAACCCTCTCGGTGTGATGGCTCAGACCCACGAGACACGGCTTCGGATCAGGGTGCTTCGCTGGTGGTGCGCCCCGGACCTTCGACCAAAGGCTGGCTGCAAACCAAAGGTCACGATCCACAGCCAGAAACTCATGATGTTCGAAAGGCAATTCATATTGATTGTAGTTCATTGTGTGTATATATATATATCCCCTTTAGAATCTCCACTACAGAATGGATGGCCATGTGGCCAGTATAAATCTGGATTTTAGCTAATTTTGAGGGTACCTGGGAGGGGATGGGGCCGTTTTATTTGTAGACCTGTTATGGTTAATGCCCCGGGAATGTATACATAGAGTCTCGGCCACCGGCATTTTGTACCAGAAAATTATGTCACTTGTTCGAAGCACCCCGGGGGGTAGGCCAGTTATTTTGTAACGAGGCCACTTGAGTAAAAAAACATGTTGTAGTAATTTGATTTTGGTAGCATCATGTGAGATTTTGGAAAACTGATTGGACATGGTTAGAGGGCGCAAAATGAGATCAAAGATTGTTAAATAGAATGACGGTGCCCATCCTTTGGTTGTCAATTTTGGCATTCACCAGTGAGTGCACTACAAAATGCAAAACCAGGGTTTATAGTCTACCAATTTTGGAAAGCCTTAGGTTTGACCCTCCATTTTGCAGTGCACTTTCCCCTTTCTCTTTCGATGATCCTTTTTTCTTCAGCCATTGCATTCTATAGTGAGTGTTCTCGGGCTCGTTGCATTTTATATTGCCAAACTCTGCCCGGCCCCCCGCAAATCATTGCTACAAAATGGAATTCCATCGTCTCCATGGGTATTTGAAGGGGGATGTATATATATATATATATACAGATCATCAGTCTACTGGTCTACAAGCTTGTGGCCACATCCGTGGACCACTAGCCGCGGCCAAATCATGTGCCACACAGTGGACTTCTCCAAGCCTTCTCCGGCCCACACAGCATCCGATTGACCCCAAGGCGCGGTACCGATCCAAGCGGGATGTGAAAGCGGGTCTCGAGGCAATCAGCACTCATGGGATTCATGGGGTGTGGAGGGTATCTCCAACTGGCGGAGATGGCGGGGCAATGTCCAAAAGAAATACAACTTTCAAAATTGGACATCAATAAATTACTTGTGGAATATGTTGTTTCGCGCGCTTCTATCCGTGCCATCAATCCAAATCTGCCCTGCAAGTGCACCGAAATGTGTGGAAACGCAAGCGGGAAACTGTGTAGAGGCCAAGGTGTTGTTTGGATTTCTTCCCTAGTTGGATGGTGACTCCACTGGCTGCATGTCCCCACAACCAGTCTCCTTGGGAGATCAGGGCCTAACTTGGGTCCTCAAGTTGCCAAGGCTAGTGACCAGTGATAAGTAGAAACATGTTGTAGATCATCCAGGGGCCAATCTTCTGGGTTTATGTATAGCTATTAAAGCATTTGCCGTCTTTGCACAATGTTGGTTGTTGTCTCTGCACATTTCCTATGATGGAGTTTCAAGCTTGTGTTCAAACCGGTGCAATCCCATCTATGAAGATCTATGATGAAGACCATCTACGAGAATCAGCTGACATCTATTGAAAGGGTTGCGGCTTGCGTCTCCAATTATCAAAACCTGTACAAAACAGTAGTAACATCAGACAGACATTAGCCATAGATGATAACATGACAACATTAGCCACACTTATGTTCATTGTATCTTTGTACGTTTTGTATCCTTTACCCATCGACTCAGCTCAGCCGGACATCGCAGAACCTCACACGGCGATCGCAGAGGAGGTGGATTGAGGCAGTCGGGGTGGCAAACACCAAGTGAAACCAGCAGAAAGTGTTTCAACCCTTTGGACTGGACAAGATTTGTTCATAAGTTTGGGATGTGGTGCCTTCAGTGGAACAGCCTGTTGCAAGTGAACAGCTCCAAGAAGTCTGAGGTGTTTTAATAGACAAGGCCAAAAATGGGCAAAGGACTACGTAGGAACTCCTCCTATCTATTCCAAAAAAGCAAACGAGAAACACATCATTGTACATTTGCTGGCCTGTATGGTGTTAAGAACATTGCCAAGGGAGTGGATGCCGAAATATGTGACATTCCAGGCTGAAGGGGACTACTGTGGCGACCTCAGTCAGAAAGACTCGTCTTTCTCGCATGGGCATTCACTGGATGAATCCGAATTAAAGGGCTGAAAGTTGCTGAAGCATTGGATGATGTTCGTCCATTCTAACGGCCAAAGGTACACCTCCTTAAGTCACAGCGTTTTTGAACCTGCATGACTTGCCTTCTTCAGCATGACCTGCCTGCAAGGAGAATTACATAGAAATACTCACCGATTGGAACCCTTGGAAATGCAACTTCACAACCCTTGGAACCAGTCTCAGCCACCCATTTCTCAGTCTCATGGGTCCCAGCCGCCTACGCCCTACGCCGGCATCGAAACCAGTTCTGCTGGGGCGTGGTGCGGTGCATGGTCTCAAGGTGATGACGTCACAGTGGCCTTTGTCGCTCCAGAAGTGCGTGGCCTCTGGGAAACATTGCAAAACGCAAAACAGTGAAGGTCAGCCTTTTGACCGTTTGACCGTTTTTCATGATGATTAGAGTCTGTCTGTCTGTCTGTCTGTCTGTCCGTCTGTCCGTCTGTCTATCTATCTATCCATCAATCTATCAATCTATCTATCTATCTATTTATTCATGTACTTATTTATACATGTATATATCTATACATATACATATACATATATTTGATGATGACACAACCTGACCTGTGTCTCACCTGCACCAACCTTTTCATGTTCTTTGATGGGTTCGTGACAGTGAAGTGTGCTTCTTCCAGTTCGCCCTCCCGTCTCCTCCAGTCGTTGCGCACCTCACACATGGACAGGCACGCGTTTCTTTTCAATCAGACAGCTAAAAGCCAACTCAACGACTCCAACTCAAGTGTACATATCCCATGTGTAAACACCATGTTCCCATCTCACCCCATTTTCCATGATTCCCGTAGAGACACCTTTCAATCCTCTTCTGACTTCTCATGAGCTTCCAAGGCCGGGCAACAGGAGGCTGGTGTTGGGAGCAAGGGAGTTTTGCTGTTGAGTGGGGGGGCATGCATTTTCCTGGTCATTGAACACAACAGGAATCGCTCGTAGGATCACAAAGAAATCATCAAATATTTACTGTAACAACATTTTGTAGATATGGATTCAATTGTGCGCGACAATTGCTACTTAGATTATTCTTTCAATATATTCGGGCGATATCTTCTAATTCAGGAATAGCTAAATTGAAATATCCTTTTCCACATTTTCTGCTCCATTCTGATCCCACAACGATAATATGATTCCGACCGACGCAATCCCAATATATCCCAATTCATCGATTCCAAAACCAATCGTGCATCAAAGAGGCCAAAGACATGGACAAATAATGATCATCCTAATTTCAAAGGATAGAAAAACATATATAATGATAATTATAAATGTTATATAATATAATGAATATATATATATATAATTTGAATATTTAAAAATTGTATTATAGATTATATTTATATAATGTTTGTTTTATTAAATTAGTTTATTTATAATATAATAATTATTTATATATATTTTTTTTATGAAATTGTTTTTTTTTCGAAGATAAAGAATTATCGTCTATTATTTAAATATTTCTTTTTGTAAGGAGCTAATTTTACTAATGATTAGCATTAGGGATCGAGCTAAATGTAAGATTATATTTGTTGGTTATTTGGAGTGGAGAAAATCGGTAGTAGGATTTTAATATGGATTTTGATATAGATTAGGAAATTAATTAATTTGAAGATATATTTAGATGAGAAAATAATAATATATGGTGATTATCGATATTAATGATATATTAGATCTTGAAAATAATATAATTTTTGATTAGGATATCGAAGCAAAATAGATGCAAATATATCGATTTGATTAAGGCATATTTATTATTTATAAATAGGATTTATTAAGGAAATTTCTCTTTTATTTGTTGCAGTGGAAAATCATGTTTCTCGATTTTTATCTTTGGATACGGGATTAGGAGGCTATTGTTTTGTCTCTCTCTTTTTCTACATATTCTTCGCGGTTGTTTTTGAGATGTAGCAAGTTAAGAGTTCTGGTGGTTTTCGGTGGCTAATGCTAATTGACAACATTTTGTATTATCGAAAAATATTGGAGAAATATTTTTCTTGGGACAATTGCGTCTTTGAAGAATTTAGGTGTGCAGATAACGTTGTTTTAATTGCTAATATCCTAGAACACTTGGCTATGAAAGCGCGGAAATTTCAGCCTTATTTATCGATTTGGGCGTGACTCTTTCCGTTGCTAAGATCCGGATATTGATTATTTTTCCTCTGGACCCCTAACCCTATTCCTATGTCTGAGGACAATTTGACGATTGAGATCTAATTTATCTCTATCTTCGATTACCTAGGTGGTCTAATTATAAACGATGGATCTTCCCAATAGATTTGACCCCACGGAAAATTGCCCAGAAACAAAAGGCCCCGGGTTGGTATGGCCCGTCAAACGGCTGCTCAGTTGGCCCAGGTGACCATGCTAATCGAAAGAGTTCGCACGAAATGTTGGAAACCTACTAGTACGGCCAGGAGCCAAAATACGGAGGGAGCTCTTTTCTGTTGTGATATACCTGGGTGCTCGGGCATATACAATACGACATGGATTTTCTCATCATCATAAATATTTGTTTCACCCTAAGGGGATTTTTCGTGCTTGTGGTTTTGATTGTCCGCATTGCCCTTGTGGATTGGACGCGAAAATGCTCTTATGGGACATTTATCTTATGAGCACGGCAATTGCCCGGCGCCCTATGCGTGTCCAATTTGTACCGGGGTTTGGCCTGGTCGTTGATCATCCCATTGTCCAAGTTTATTTATCATATCGTTGTCCTTTATGTGAGCTTGAGCCTGATGATCCTGCCTTATTTCATTCGGAATTCCATTTTCGTTATCATTTCTTTCGCATGCATACCTAACTTGATGTGCTGCTTTTTAGCTTAATTGCCCGTATGCTGTATTCTGCCTGCTTTTCATTGGTTGCTCCGGTGGATGACATTGGCCGCCTGGTCACCACCACAACCAAGGTCATTGGCAAAGATCGTAATTCTCGATAGATTATGTTGTTTTGCCAAGGCACTCTCCGGACCACCGTTGTTGATTGCGTTGCTCAGTGGAATATTGGTGCCCAGGCGGCCAGGGAGCGCAAGACCTCTAAGCTGTCATCGGTTGCCCCTTCGCAAGTGGTTCTCCCTCTCAAGGTCCAGCTGTACAATCTTATGATCGACCAATCGGAAGAGGAGGGATTGCAAGGTGAGGTATTGGCCAATCTACGGGCTTCTCCACGTATTGCTGTTGAGGCTGTCTTCCATGACCAACCACCGGAGGACCCTGCAAACCGTGGATCCTTAATGGACGGCTTGCGTGTCCGTGCCTTGCTATCCCGGCCTGAAGTTGCCATTGTGTGCGCCAAAGGTTTGTCCGGCTTTTCCATGTTGGGTATCGGAGTTGCGAGGTTCTTCCCTGGACCGGCTCTTCGCGATGTTCTTCGTGGCTCAAATTATGAGGAATTGATGAATTCGATCAGGAAAGATAAGGGGAAATGGAGTGCAGAACGCCGTGGCTCCGCGCTCGCTCGCGACGATGGCCGTAAACCCAAAAAATGAGCTGCAACTCCTTGGCTTTACCAGATCGGTGACATATCGATAATTGATTTGGTGGCGGCACCGTCCGCTACCTGATTTTCCGTCGGTATCGTCCGGCGGTTGAGAACGGCTCGGTACTGTCGGGCCGTACGCCCTCTGGACCCCTAACCCCATTCCTACGTCTGAGGACAATTTGACGATTGAGATCCAATTTATCTCTATCTTCGACTACCTAGGTGTTCTTATTGTAAACGATGGATCTTCCCAATAGACCTGACCCCACGGAAAATTGCCCAGAAACAAAAGGCCCCGGGTTAGTATGTGGCCCGTCAAACGGCTGCTCAGTTGGCCCAGGTGACCATGCCAATCGAAAGAATTCGCGCGAAATGTTGGAAACCTACTAGTGCGGCCAGGAGCCAAAATACGGAGGGAGTTCTTTTCTGTTGTGATATACCTGGGTGCTCGGGCATACACAACACGACATGGATTTTCTCATCATAAATGTTTGTCTCACCCTAACGGGATTTTTCGTGCTTGTGGTTTTGATTGTCCGCATTGCCCTTGTGGATTGTATGCGAAAATGCTCTTATGTGACATTTATCTTATGAGCACGGCAATTGCCCGGCGCCCTATGCGTGTCCAATTTGTACCGATTTGGCCTGGTCGTTGATCATCCCATTGTCCAAATTGATTTATCATATCGTTGTCCTTTATGTGAGCTTGAGCCTGGTGACCCTACTTTATTTCATTCGCAATTCCATTTTCGTTATCATTTCTTTCGTATGCATACCTAATTTGATGTGTTGCTTTTTAGCTTAATTGCCCGTACGTTGTATTCTGCCTGCTTTTCATTGGTTGCTCCGGTGGATGACATTGGCCGCCTGGTCGCCACCATAACCAAGGGCGTTGGCAAACATCGTAATGATCGATAGATTCTGTTGTTTTGCCAAGGCACTCTCCGGACCACCGTTGTTGACTGCGTTGCTCAGTGGAATACTGGTGCCCAGGCAGCCAGGGAGCGCAAGACCTCTAAGCTGTCATCGGTTGCCCCTTCGCAAGTGGTTCTCCCTCTCAAGGTCCAGCTGTACAATCTTATGATCGACCAATCGGAAGAGGAGGGATTGCAAGGTGAGGTATTGGCCAGTCTACGGGCTTCTCCACGTATTGCTGTTGAGGCTGTCTTCCATGACCAGCCACCGGAGGATCCTGCAAACCGTGGATCCTTAATGGACGGCTTGCGTGTCCATGCCTTGCTATCCCGGCCTGAAGTTGCCATTGTGTGCGCCAAAGGTTCGTCCGGCTTTTCCATGTTGGGTATCCGAGTTGCGAGGTTCTTCCCTGGACCGGCTCTTCGCGATGTTCTTCGTGGCTCAAATTATGAGGAATTGATGAATTCGATCAGGAAAGGTAAGGGTAAATGGAGTGCAGAACGCCGTGGCTCCGCGCTCGCTCGCGACGATGGCCGTAAACCCAAAAAATGAGCTGCAACTCCTTGGCTTTACCAGATCGATGACGTATCGTTAATTGATTTGGTTGCGGCACCGTCCGCTACCTGATTTTCCGTCGGTACCGTTCGGCGGTTGAGAACGGCTCCGTACTGTCGGGCTGTACGCCCTGTTGTTTCTGTATTTATTTTCCTTTCTTCGCCTTTGGTTCTTCCCTGTGGTTCTGTTTCTTTCCCTGAAATTTGTTCTTTTGGTTATAACCTCCTAGAGCGGTTTATGTTGTATATATACGCTGAACAATTTTGGCCACCGGGTTTGCCCTACATAACCACCAAGGAGCCGGACCAGGCTAACGCTTTCCTTGGTTGGGTATTACAGCATCCTAGTGATAGATTTTGAACCTGGGGCGATGGGATTTCATGCCCCGAGAACGCTCCCCCTCCAGATTATTTGGAAATATATGCATGTATTTTTCAAGAATTCTAATTATCCTGTTGGATGGAAATTTATTATTTACAATAATATATTCCATTCTAATCTTTTATATATGGATTTGAAACGGGGGATTGATGCCATCCTTATTTTATTCCGCGACCCTCGAAAGATCCTGAATATGCATACCATTTTCATCGATCGTATAAATACGAACGCTGAAATCTACCACAAGGCTAATGCAGCTGTTGCATCCAGATATAATTACTCTTCCAAATTAGTTTGATATATCGAAATATATTTGCATTACAAAAATAATATTAATTAAATATATTGTTATTTTTTACAAATTGAATATGTATTTATTCTTATTTTATCATTTTGTAATTAATCATTATGCAATTTCATTATATTATTTCTATATATTCATTTATTATCAAATACATATTCAATCGAAAATATATAAATATTTCAATTCATTTAATTCCCTTATTGTTATTTTTTTATATTTTACAAGTAAAAAATAATTTATATTTTATATTAATTATATATTATTATTCAATTATATGATCGTCCAAAATTAAATATTTATATTTGAGGCCAGAGGGGGTGAACGAAAACTAGCCGCCCTTCCGGTGGTCTACTGCTGCTGCCGCTGCTGCGCTAGACGTTGCTGCGCTGGGTGCTCTGCAGGCGCCGGGTTGTCTGTTGCTGCTGGGTGGTCTGCTTCTGCTGCGGTTACTGCTGCCGCAGCGTTGGGTATGCAGCTGCTGCCGCCGCCGCCGCCACCGCTGGGTGATCTATTACTGCTGCGCTAGGCTGCGCTAGGCGCTACAAATGCTTAGTGTAATACAGTTGCGTAGTGGTCCCGCTCACCACGCGCAAGGAGGAGTCGAACCGCGAGCGGGGGGGGGGGGGAAGGTGCATAAAATTAATTTAATCAATTATTTAAGGTTTCTAAGGTGCGGCCATCCCATCACTTAACTTGCTAAAGCAAGAGCAATTCCAGCTAGCTAAAGCTAGCTTTCGTAATATATTAATTAATATTAATTATTATTATTTAACAATTAATATATACATATAATATTCAATATCATTAACATATCAAATTAATATAAATATATATAATTTCATTAAATTTATATTATATATATATATTAATATATTTATATATATATAATTATTTTTATATCAATCAAAATTTAAAAATATCATTATTAAATTCTATTCAATTATTTATATTTATATTAATTATAATGGCTTCATTAAATTATATATTCAATATAACAATATATTCGAAAAATAATATAATTATAAAATTAGACAAATAAAGATTTCTTAATCAATAATTAAATATAATTAACAACGTAATAAATATAAATTCAATAACAAATAATCCCTAAAAATACCTTACGGAAATATAAAATACAATTCCAAAGAAAAAAATCACGAAAACAAATTACAACAAAATGAAAACAACAAACACTAAACGTCTCTTCTTTTTCATTAAATGTACTAATTGATATTGTTATTAATATTATCTATTGGTTTCGGTCATATATCTCAAGCATTCAACATATTTGTATTGAATAGTAACATATAATAACAAGATATCCTTTCATTAAAATGAAAGGAATACAAATATTACAAAATTTATCAATAATGCTTGGTGGAGGTGCACTAGCTCGTAATATTTGTAGTAATGAACTCCATATATTTATTCTATATACTTATCAATTCCCTAGTTTGTTCCCTCATGTTGGCCGACCCCCTCCCTCTCCTGCGCGTGCTCCCTCGCTGCATCACTACATTCTACGTAGAAATCACTACATCGGAAGCCATCACGTCACATATCGTCACATGATCTTGCATCAGTCACAAACTCATGCCTCGTTGCCATCCACCCCTCAACACTCCTGTGGCCTATTTAATACTAAAACTTCCGCCCACCGGCTCTGCCGGAGGATTGCCTTGCACTTGTATTTACATTTTTCGACTAAATAATCTATGATTGTCGGGCTCTTTGTCCCCTTTCAATGGTCTGGTGTGTCCTCCGTAAGGCCGTACCTCAAACTATTCGTTAAAAAATCAAGAGGACAGCGTGCAGAAAACGTATAAAACGTAAAATGAAGGGCCAAACCGTGGCAAGTCTGTTGAGATAGCAGCTGACGTGAAATGTAACAGCCAAAAAGGGGGTTAGTTGTTTAGGCATATATCGTGCAGAAACAATACTTTCCCAACTGCGCAAGGAATCTAATTACGTTGACTGTGTGGGGCCATGTGGGGTGTCCATTCGTATTTCGATAAGTCGCGCAGCGGCGGGGGGCTCCAACCAATCTACCCCATACAGTAGTGCCCATTGTGCTAGTGTAGGTTTAGTTGGTCTAGCCCGTGATCTGCGACTCCAAATTGGTGGATCGTGTGTTTCATATGCATCCAAACTCTTGTCTTTACTTCATCGATATCCGATCGCCATGCTCCTGTTTTTTGAGTGAAGCAACATAAAATAACTGCCATGCTGCTTCACAACTGCTTTCTTGTAGGTTTGGGTCTCAAAGGGCTCAAAGGCATCAACAATCTCCCACTTCCTTGGCATAAAGTCTCTGTACAAAAGTGAACTTGAACCGTTGTTGTCGCTGCGTGGATGAGAAGTTGGCCCTTGATCAATCCTTGCTCTGCCCACTCTGCCCTGCGACATCCTGCAAACAAGGCACTCAGCCGAAGCACAGTGTCCTTTCTTCAGTTCTTCACCATCTTTGACACCCAAGCATTCCCCCGTACTGTGCCAAATGCGGCCATCGTCGTCGAACATGAACCTAGCATGGCATATCGGGGAATCCATTGAGTTCTCGTCAGGTGGTTCTTGTCTTCATGCTTTTCCATGCAAGAAACTCAAGAAACCATAATTATAGAGGATTGCACACGCTCCCTCAAACAATTGAATCTGAGCAGGGCCCCAGGCAGCTTGGAACATGTTCCATTTCCATGACTTGGTCGAGGAGCTGCTGAGGGGAGCTGCGCCCAGTGATATCACATAGCGCAGTCTCTGGGCCCTTGCCAGTGAGATCTGCCCAGCAATCCTGAGTGCATTGCACAAATCTCATGCAGGGTTTAGCAGCTAGTGCGCGTGTGGTACTTCAAGAAAGCATGCACTGCAAGACCATGCAAAACCTATCTCGTATACTCCAAAGTCCTCCAATAGGTTGACATTGGTTTGAAGATGGCCTTCAAACACGACCGGTGTGAGGCCACCACCCCAAATGGGTAGAGGGATCTCCTAAGAGTGACGTCCCAGCCATCCCGTGCCAAGTCACCAAAGAATTCCACTCTCGAATGCCAGAGCAGCAGGTCTCCAGTGGCTGAGCACTCACCTGGCGGTTTGGAAGGACTGGTATTGCGTCAAAACATGTATGGCCCACAAAAAGACTGGACTCTTCGTTAAGTGAAGGCTTGTTTACCTTCCCTGCTGGCTTGACGCTTGCCCAAAAGTATCAAACATATACAGTAAGAATCAATTCATGTATCTAAAACACTAGTCAAGTTCACCCTCCGCGCAAAACTGTCCAACTGGGCAAGAACTCGGTGTCACCTCTTCCTAGCCCATTGCCCTCTCCCATGGCCTTCGCAGCCTCTGCGCGTGACATGCATACTGCAAAGACCCACTGGCAGTCTGCCTGGGCACAATGTTTTAAAATCTTCGAAGTTTGCTGATTCTTGTAAATATGTTTTTAACTGTTGTATAAGGCACACACGTTGCAAGAGCAGTGCCTTCAGCATGGGACAAAGGTATATATCTGCCCGAGTTCGAAGATGAATGCAGTCTTGCTGACCCCCCAACTCTCAGACCCAAGAAACATCTGAACAAACGTCCAAACCTCTTAAACACTTCGAGCCACTACCTTCGAGCAAAAGGAGAGACGAGAAAGAAAACCTCACTACAGCTCTGATCCGCCTGCGACCAGCGATAACTTTCAGCATCTCTTCTTCACTATGAACCCCGACACAAGAAACTGCCAATACCCAGGGTCGGTGACATCAGAGGCACCTGCTAGGCAATCGCCCACTATAGTCTTCCATGGTCGTTTTTTGCTGCACCGAGCGCCGAACCGTTTGGGGCGCGACGTGTAAACCAGTGGGCTCTGCCGGGCTGCGTGGCACCATTCAGAGCCGTGGCCCTGAGGGCATGCACTGCAACCACCGGTCCTTAAACGCAAAGATACCGTCTGGGACTAGACAAAACAAGAATGCTACAGGAAACTTAGGAAACTAGTGGAACCATCTGGAATGCCAAGACTCACTTTGTGTCCACCACAATTTGTTTCCAAATTGGCATCGTCATCAGCCGATTGAATCAATCGAGAAAGCGCTTCAGGCTTTGGAAACCTCAGAAGTTTGGAGAGCTCAGGGTCCACCAGCTGGCCTAGTTGCCTAGGCACATGGCACTCAAAAAACAAACATTGACAGATGCCACTTGTGAGTAGGCTACTCCCCAAATTGCAAAGGCAACATCAAATAGAAGCAATAGAACCGTGCACCTTATAGCCGCAACCCTTGTTCCTGGAACACAATCTGCTTGGGTTCCATAATGGGAGACTCAGCCAAACATCAAGAATGAGGAGGCCACCCAAATCATTTGCATCATGCGATACTTACTAAGTGCCAATACACTACAGCTGCAGGAGGCATGTTGAAAGACGCATTTGTTTCAGCATGCGAAGCAGTGCAGCCGTTGGAAGTTCAAGCAAGAAACGCTTCTGGAATCATGTTCCCATGGTGCAGCCATGTGCCACCAGAACCTCGTTGATCAAAATGTCGGGCGGAAGTACAACACAAAAGCAGTGAAACAAACAGGCGATGCAATCCGAAGCGTTCAAACTATCATCAAAAGCAGCTGCGTTTTGTTCCATCACATCGCCGATTGAGGATCCTACAGTCGCTCAAGAGGTAGCCTCGATTCTGACGTCGCAGGCATTTGCCCGTGCTGCTACTACGAATACGAAAGACCTCAGCAAGTGCGGCTGTGACCAGCCACGTGGACATGAGCAAACCCTGTCATCCCCGGAGATCCCGACTCCCGTGAGCAAACATCGGAAGTCGAACAAAACATGAAAACAAAAAGGAAAAAATTGGTGGTCCTGTTTATCTAAAATTCTATAATTGAGTCTGCCACCTTTTCCGGCAGCATGCCGCTTTGGAGGTAGACCTGACATGGGTCAGCCGTATCATTCTGGCCTCCATTGGCCTTCTGAATGACTGCCAACCAATTCATAGCTTCAACATGGGAATGAAAACTTCAATGGGTTAGGGCGGCTCCCGTACAAAGAAACTTGGCAGCTCCCAATCCTCTCAAAACATCTCAAAACTCCCGCGCCTTTCGAAAGCGATGCAAGAAATAAGCGAAAGGCTTGCAGCCTAATCGCTTTTTCAACTCCATAGTCTTGGACACATCTACATGCGGCTCGTTTCCTCAAAGCATGCCGGGTGCATGAAAAACTCACTGACTGAGATATAGGGCCTCACGCTGAGATGGCATATTGAAAGTGGGGGTGAACGTTGCACATGTGCAAATAAAGATTGAACAATTGAAAAACCTCAATTTAATACATCTGCTGAGATCTCCATTCCGATCTTGTCCTATTTCTTTCCTTCCTCCCTCCCTTCCTCAGTTGTGCCCTTTCAATGATATGCTAGACTATGCGGAGTCGAGGCAGGGCCCAAGTAGGGTGTCTGTGCTTGTGCTTTCCTTTCTGCCCTGGCTCTGATACTTGATGCATCATTTGGGTCAGTTGTGCCCATCTTACGCTCCCATGTCATAATGCTATTTGCCATCTTGTTGCGAATACCCATATTTAGATTGTGTTGGTGTACCCAGGTGCACCCACACAGCCAAACCAAGAGGCCGCCACGAAATTTGGGCAGAAACTCATCCCACCATGCAGCGGCCGTGCGGGCGACATTGTCATACTTCTGGCGAATCTTGTATCTGGCAATGGTGCCTCGCACTGCGACGCCCGCAGTGCAAAGGAAAGGATGACACAGTAGCTGGCATGAAACCGGTTGAAACCTATTGCAACGGCCCCTCTTATCCCGTTGTGGTTCGATGGTTTCCTTGGCATTTGTCTCACATCAACAGGCGACCGCATCTGATAGGCAGGCCGTGCTGCGCTTGTCCTTCTCGGTGCGCCACATGTGCGCCACTATGCTGCTCTTCGCGCGCACCACATCGCCTGTCACCCAACATTGGAGATGTTTATATAATGTTTGACAATGATTGAATCAAACAAAAGCTTGACTAGTGCAACTGGCAAGGAATGAGCGTGGCTGGATCCAAAGAAATCTCTCTCTCTCTATATATATATAATATACTGGGTCAGCTACCCTCATTCCCTACTTTCGTTGCACTCGTCAGCTAGGAAAATCTCTCTGAATCATGTGCTGCCCAAGAAGAAGGGGTTCCACAAAATAAGTGACTTGCCAGGCTGGCCGCCACAAAGCCAGGTTCTGATGGGCTGCTCGGTATTTTCCCCACCTGTCACAAAGCAAACGCTACCACCGACACAGACTGAGTGCCATCTTTCTCTCTCTCTCTCACTTGTGTTCTTGTTAACTGGTGATGCCAAAAACGTTCAAAGGCACTGACATGCCACGACACACTTTCAGTGTAGTGAAATCGCAGGATGCTAAAACTGCGACTGCGGCTCAGGGGGCTGGAGTAAGAAACCACGTTGGGCCAAAAATTCTGTTTATATACCCGGTTCTTTCAAGGCAGGCCACGAGAGCAATAGCAAGCTCATGGGGTGGTCATTGCTGTAGAGATGCGGTGGGCTTCCAAGATCACTTCCCAAGACCCCGTCTGCTGGAATCTCCAGCAGTCTCTAAGTCTCTAAGTGAAGCTCCTTCCCACATACACACAAAGGAGTTGAACAAATCAGTGCTAAGGAGCCGGAGGCTTTGTACAGATTGACTGTTTGTTTATCCAAGCAACTCTGTGCAGGCTCAAATGGCAGAAATACTGCCCGGTGCCCGCTATGGTTTCTTTCACCGAGGAGCCCCAACCATGCATGCCAGGATCAAAACCTCCTGATTCTTGCCACCAGCTGCGTGTAGTAGCAACCAACCCGCCACTGATGACGGGGGAATAAGCAGACTCATCATCGTACCACCACCAGTCCTTAGAAACGTCAATTGTCCATGCCTGGAGCTCCACACGTTTCTTCCCTGTTGATGTTGCTCCAAGTTTCAGCATTGAAATTGACCCAGCACTTGCCCACATATCCCCCATTGGGGATTTCATCCCAGGTATCAATGTTCAATGCGCCAATCATGGGAATGACCAGCCTCCGCGACTTCTCCTGCAGGCCACTGCTACACAGGCTGTCCTATTCCATGACTGTGTGACTGCTGTGAGGTATATAAATTTTGTCCAATCTCACATCTCACATTTGAGAGAACATCCCCCTTGCAAAATATGCAAGTTTTACAATTGTACATCACTCTTCCCCGTCAGGGTCAGGAGATATGCGGCTCGTCAAACTGCTGACTGATGTCATCTTGTGGCCCTGGTATTTCAACTCCGGGTATGATTACATAGAAACGCCCCCTGCCGCCGCCATCTCCGCAGCCCCCCTCCCCCGTCGGAGGTTTTTGAAGTTTTTTTCGTACGGTCCCAACACCGACCCGGACGATCTGGGAGGCCTTGAGGAGTTGGATAGTCTCTTTGTACCATCCTCTTCGTGGTGCCACGTGGCAGTCCTCAGAGAGGATCCGAGACAGTTTGATGAGTCGATCCTCTCGACCGAGTCGCGGAAGACCCCCGCAAAAAAAGAGCCGAGAGGATCCGAGAGGCATAGAAGCCGATGAACTCGCCTTTGGCTGCATCGCCGCCTGAGCTGGGTCATGTGCACCCCAAATATATATATATAAATATGGGATGACGTGGAGTCTTTCGACTACTTCCCCTACAGTACAGATTTCGGTGAGTAAGACATCTAATAGATAGTGAGTTTCCCTCAAGATCAATCAGGCAACCACTGCAGCAATTAAGATAATTAAGCTAAGTTCATTGACGTGTGAATGAGAACTTGTGACTGCTGCGCTAACACAGCTGACAATACAATAGCAATTCGAGTCGTATACGACATGGGCCAAGTGAATCAAGATGAATCAAGTGTTTGGGCATGGGACACGCAGGGTGATTCGCAATGACTCGCATGTGGACAGGAATGCGAGCAGTGACAAAAGGCATCTCGTTGAGCGCCCTTCTGCGCCCTTGATGTTGGGATGTTGTGCGCCCTTCTGGAATCCAAAGTCCCCAAATGTCCACCATGTTCTTCGCCAAGCAATAGCCATGCAACGTTTCTCAGATGGATTGGCATGGAGTCGATCAGTCCTAATGAGTCCTACATAATAAGCCAGGTGGCGCTAGGATTTCATGCCGATCGGATGTCTTTCCACCCGTCGGCACAAGAATTTGGCCGCACATGGAAGGAAAGGTGATGATGTGAGAATCAACTTATTCAACCTTACGGTCTGACTTCTGTGTTGACATTGACGGCGGTGCTCATCAAGGCACACCTGAAGGCGGTGATGGCTAAAGCCTGCTACAGCACACCGGAGCGTCAGCCCGAATGACGAGGCGTCAATGATTCCACCGAAGGATTGGCATGGATTTGCATGATATGCAACCTTGTCTGCGAGTGCCAGTGAATCAGAATGAATCGGAGAATGGATCAATTCAGCAATGGTTGGAGAAGGAATTTGGCCTTGGGCACGGGACACCACTCCTCCAAAGGTGGAAGAAACGGGTTGGAGAACCATAGACGCTGAAACAGAATGTACAGTACTGCCCAAACACTCAATGTGTGGAATGCTGACACGCGTTGGCTGTTCTTTGGGGTCATTGAATGCTTCATATTCCATACATGCTGCAGCATGCTGCCTATAGAATAATGAATAATGCAAACTGAATGCAATGCAGCACATGCTGTTTGCCACGCCAGATTTGGGCGCATCGATGTCAGGTGAGACAGTTTGGCAGGCCAGGCAACCAATCCATTGGGTGAAGGTGTACTTTTCCAAAGAATATAGCTAGAGGACTGACTTGTCAGCTCATTAAGCGGCCACCCATGCCTTACAAATGCATTTGCCAAACTTATAATGGATCCCGACCTTGTGTCGGATGGTGGCCGAGCATTGAGTGCGCGACGTATATACAGCATGCCAAAGAACATCTTGAAGCTAAAACGAACACACATTCCATATCATTCCATCTCAAAGGGTCTTTAACTGCCGCAGGATTAAGCTGCAAAGACAGCGGAAATCCAGTTGCCGCGTGCCTCTAGCATTGCACTCTGCCTGAAGTGCTTGTAAAAGACGATGGCAAACAGTTGCATCCTCCAAGCCAGGACTGTCAGGGATTTCCCGCATGAGCAGTCCAACAATGACCGGATCCCCAAAGACAATGCCTAAATCATCCAAGGACAAGCAGCTGCAAACTCCATCCACCCCACAGCGACCGCTGCTTTGTAAGACTCGCTGAAAATGGCGCCACAATTCATCTTCGAAGCTGCGTTGCTGCTGCAAATGAACTGAATCAAGCAGTGCCATGTAGTCTATGTAAGACTCGCCTGGGTGACGAAATGTTTGGAGAAATCTGGTGGATATAGCTTCTGCAATGGTTGGATGCCCCACAGCGGTCAACACGTGCTTCAAGTCTGAAGCCGTGAAAAAGCCGTTGCCGCTCATGTCAATCTCCTTGCAGCGGCACAGAAACTCTTGCAATTCTTCTTGTCGAAACTTCTTAACCAGGATGCTGGCGGTAAAGACCTCGATCAAAGAAGTGCGGTAAAAGCGCCGCAAGTTCAACATGAATGAAGCAAACATCGAACCGGATGGTGAGTTGTCAGCTAGCCGTAGGATCCATGGATGGCTTAAAGCATCTTGAAGGGTCAAGCGATCCCAGAAAGAATGCTGCAAGCAGCCGGACACGAAGCTCTTAGCATCCTCTGAAATCTTGGACCAAAATGGTGGATCAAATGCCACCTCTCCACGATGAATCCGTGTCAGGATGGCATTGCGGGAAGGAGCAAAGAAGGGAGGATAGCCGCAAAGAAGGAGAAACGCGATGGCTCCAATGCTCCAAATATCTGCAGCTTGGTTTTTGGTAGAATAGCCACTTGAACCTGCAAGTGCCAGCCGCTGCTCTTCGACCCAGTCTGCATGTTCCACGAGCACATTGGCCAGCAGCTCTTCATCCAAAAGACTGCGATCAACTTGATCTTCCGGGAGCCATGTATTGCTGCTGACCTCAAGGTCATTCCCATTCCCAACATCTTTCTTCCGCTTGGGCTGCGGGGCGAACTCGGGCGCCAGAAAGACTAGCTTACACGTCTCAAAGAAATGCGGCAAGGAGGGATTCTGCAAGTCAGGGCCACCCACATGCTCCACGGCATCCCAGCGATGGGCTTTGAGCTCCAAGCCAAAATCCACCAGCTTCAAGGGCGAATGAGGTGACGCGTTGAGGAATCGGAAGCTCTCGGGATTCAAGCTTCCATGATGCATGTAATTGGCATGCAAAGGTACCAAGGCTTGTAGCATATGCTTTACCAGAACAGCAGTTTCCTGCTCTGTGAAATATTGTCTCTCCAGAATGCGCTCATAAACTGAGCCCCCTGTACAAAGCTCTTGAACTAAATGAATGTTCACGTAATCCTCAAAGACTTCAAAGACCTTGGCTATAGCTTCATTGTCCGAAAGCCTCTGCATCGAGAAAATGCACGAGTGAAGTCGCTCTTGGGCAGCTGAACCAAAAGGTTTTCGGAAGCTGCACAGCTGTCGCGGGACTCGCGTCTTCCTGTTTGGCAATGCAAAAATGACTAAGCCTACCCCACACCTACAGTGACCTACAGTCAGTGTCAATTGGACATCAATGGAAAATGGTGTCCTATAGGCATGGGACGACAATCCAAACAAAATCTTCCAACTCAACACATGGGTCCGATGGACTGCGATGAAGATCTGAGGAACTTCTTCTGGCTCCGGTGGTCGAATCTCGTAGTTGGCGGGAAGCCAGGAGGCCGCTTCCACCTGGGGTGACCCACGGCCGCTGGCGATCTGAAATGACACCTCCTCGGCAAAGTCCTCGAAGACATCATGATCTTTCGAACCCACCACCACGTCAGCAGCTCGAGGGGCAAAGCTGCAAGGACTGTTGTCATCTGGTTGAACGACTGGAAAGGCATCGCCTATCCAATCCGCTGATGTATCCAAGCGCTTTTGCATGCAGCATGCTCCCGCGCCCATTGAAACGCGCAAACTAAAGAGAGCTAGTAGTTAGGACAAGCCAGGGTTGGGTCCGTTGTTCCAACAAACTGCGGAGTTAACTGGATGGAATCAAGGTATATGATATACAGTAGGTACAAATAGGTACAATATATAGTAGATTAAGTACAGTAGATACCATAAAGGTGTCTATGCAAAGGGCCGAGAACCACCGTCGGGTTCAGCAATTTCAGAGTATGGGGATGCCTGAAGCATGATTGACAAAACTGGAGCTGGAAAGCTTGAAGTTAGCACCGGGATACACAGCGTATTTTCTGACTCTCTAACTATTAATTATAGCTAGACTCGATTGCTAATTTGACCTCGAAGCTCGTGCATCTGCTTTTCTATGCTTTTCTGCTTGACTAAGCATGGGCATTCTTCTAGGCTGTCTCGGGCCAAGACCAAACCAATGAGTCTTGAGTCTTGAACTTCTCAGACCCCTAGAAGTGACGTGACCAGCTTCTGAGGTCTGGCCATAGAGGTGGGAGTCCAAAAAACGCCCCCCCTCCCTCCCCCCCTCAACTGATAAACAACACAAAACACAAAACGAAGCACACCATTACAACAAAACATACATCAGGCCACGTGCCTGTTTGCTTGGCGATCATCAGGCCACGAGGGCCATCATCGTGCCGAAGTACACGCAAGCGGCAGTTGGGCTGAATGCGTCTTTGTAGCCTTAGGGTGGAGGCCATCGCTCCTAGGGTGAAGGCCATCGCCACTAAGGTGAGATGCTGTGCTGGAATGGTCCGATCCACAAACAGAATCACAATGGCTGCGAGAACCAAGACATACCAAACGATGCTTGGAGTTTGACGATCCGCTCTCCAAAATGACTTCCCCAAAAAGCCTTGACCCATGACCCCTATCACCAGCACTTTTTGGGCCAAGCTGGCTCTATGGAGAGAGGTGGCTGCGAGCCGTCATCCACTACAATGATCTCCTGCAGAACCTCCGCCGGTGTCCTGGTCGCAACCAACCAGCCATTTGGTGCTTTTCTCTTCACTGCATCATCCACCGCCCCATCGTCCTGTTGCAGAAACTCTGAACTGTTTGGATGGTAAACTCACTCTCGTTCAGGCAAGGCAGGACCACAGAGATGCGACCTGGGAGTTTGCCAAGCCAACAGATCGAGGTTCTCTCAGCTTGCTCTGGAGGCTGAAAGTGCGCTACTCTTTGAAGACGCCTAGCTGCCTAGCTTAATTACTTCCCGAAGTCAATTCCCACACTCTGATGCTCAGAGTCCCCTGGTTCTACCTTTCCTTCTACCTGCAAATCGTGCACACCACCCAAGGCCCAAGCCTTCACCATCACCCGGCAACCGCCCGCGCAAGTAGCCCACTGAAGCATGTGCATCGGCAGGAAGGACCGCTAAGTCCCCTGGCAACGCAGGAGAATCAACAGGAAGACGAGAGGTTCTGAGCTTGCTGTGGGGTCACCCCGAACCATTCAGCGTCAACATCAAGAAATTACATGTATAGCGAGTCTTGTACGTGGACATCTTGCTCCTTCGTTTCCTTATGCGACCCCCAACGTGATTCTTAGGATTCTAGAGTCCAACATGTTCTGACAACCCTAAAATCCTGGTGCTGAAATCCAGGGGTCCCGTGCTTGTGGTTACTCACTGGCCAAAGAAAATAACAATAAAATTATATATATATATAAACGATACAGAAACAAAAAGAAACCCAACATTATGATAAAACATAAAGATAAAACACGTAAAAATGAATGTACCATATTCTGATTCTAACGCCAATACTCTATACCACTTAATGTGCGAGACAATAATGGATGCTAATAATCTAAAAATAAGGTTCTATCAAATTAGTGATGGTGCTCTATGTAACTGTCTCTTTATTTTAGTTGTCTTCTCTAGTCTTATTATTTATTGAATCCTAAGTTGTACAGGAAGTGAAGGAATAGATGACCTATAGATATAATGATGCTTAAAGGATTATTCAGTTTGATTTCTGTTCTTTCATGATCTATGTTGTCTATCTATTTCCATCTTATGACATTTTTATTGTGTTGCTGCTAAGATAAGAACAATCATATATGAAGTGAATATGAAGATAACACATAACATAAAGGTGTAAGATACAAAAGGGAAATGTAATATAAAATGATTGGATAAATAGGCAATAAAATGATATCATAATATCTTGTCTTCATGGTACTTCTTAATCCTACACTATTAGAAATTGAAGATTGAAAAAATAAGCATAAAGAAAATACAAATAACATTATTAAGGAGTTCATCTTTTTGTCCTTTTTGTTTTCTTTATCTATAATTCCAACATCCAAAATACGATTATAAATGAAACCAGGAAATATGACGTGCTTTTTTAATGTCAATCTGTGTCTATTTCTATTGGTTCTTTATTGTTCTATTTTCATCATATTGCTCAAAAGAAAAACAAAAAGGATACATAGACGATGACACCCAACCTTAAAAATGCAACTATATATGTTATTCATGTTTTCCCAATAGCATTCAAAAGGTTGGTAGCTATAATCTTTGTCATCACAAAAAATTGGGTAACAAGAGAAATAAAAATACATATGTCAACTTATTTATTGATTGATAACCAGCATTTAATGCCATTAAAAACAGAGACAAAACACACAACAGAAATGGTGGATTTATTTTCATGTCATTGTCATTTCGTGTATCTTAATCTGTCTTTTGGGATTCCACATTTAATGAGCAAACAAAAGGGACAAGTAAAACCATAATAGAATCCCAAAAGAATGGGACACTCATCTGGTCGAGAATGGCACCAATGGTGTGCAACCATTGTTTGTAACGCGCAACGGCTTCGGCCTGTGCGAAGGGATTCCGAAGATGGTGGGCTGCTCCTTCGCAGGAAAACCAAAAAATCGAACGGGCCAAGACACAAAACCTACTACCAATAATGCGAGCACTGTTTTTTCCCAATGTCTCAGTGTGGGCCAACAACAATCCAAACTGACTGTTTCTGATTGGCAAGCGTCGCCCCGCTGAGAAACAGGGTGACCATCAGCAGCTGCATAATCATGTTGAACAGCAAGCATGCCTGAGTTGCGCCAGGCGGCAAAATCTCATCATAAAAGCAAACCATGAGCAATCTTCGCCACAAAATAAAGGACCAATTCCTGCGGAAACATCTCTAGAGAGAGAGAGAGAGAGACAGACCTGGAAGTGCCCCAAAGCCAAAACAGAACAAATCCTTCTTTTCAACGTACCCGGCGCATCGTTTTGAGCTCCAAACAGGGCCCCTCCTGGATTTTTGGCCCAGTGGCCGAGCCCAGCTGCCCCGAGTCCATCAAGCTGTGGGCGAAAACGCCCAGCACCGACAGCCTGAGAATGGTTAGCCAGGTCCATCCTCGCATGACCCCATGACCCCCAAATCTCTTGGAAGAGCACTTCGGAAAGAGTCGGCGAGGCAGTGCATGTGACCCTGCTCAAGTTGCAAAAACATAAAAAGGTTCGACATGGTTCGACATGCCTCACGTACTGCCAAAGAAAAAACTTGCATTGATAATATAGTCCAATGAGCTTTGACCCATGGCTGAACCCTGGCGATGTCCAAAAAGAACTCAACAAAATAGTAGTGATTAGATGTTCTATGATTTTCGGGAGTCTAGACGGTTTGAATTTGAATATATTGAGCTTCAGCGCCCACCATCCGAATCACGTTCCCATCAACATGATATCAAGTCCATCCCTGCCTGCCTCGTGGTGAAATTCAACCCTAGGGTACCTGATCATCCTGCTAGTCATTCTGCTCAGGAAAACATTGCGGTTTCCTTCGCAGTGGTTACTAATTAAGGCTCACGATCGTGAATTCAATTGAGAATTTCATCAAAGTCCGGTCTGTGGGTCAAAACCGCCGCCAGCTCCCAAATAAATAAATAGCCGTGGAAGTACCGTCATCTAACTACAAGTGGCCGACCTATATATTGACGCATGTCCACTTCACGTCCGTACACACCCTTCTTTTTCGGCCAATTCGGGAGACATGGTGATTCCAAAGACCGCCAGCATCGAAGATTTCTCTTCATACCTGAAGTCTTGGTGGTCAAAGCCGCCAGTCAATTCTGAATGCCAACTCGACGAACAAAGCAAATTCTGAAAGGCAAAGGTCATGCATCTGTCATGGCCATCTCCGGCTTTGGAACAAGCAGCGTAGAGTACCAGAAGGGTTTCAGTATACCCATTATTCCAGAGGACCACGTTATATGTATATATATTTTTTTTTGATTATAATTGATTGTAATTGTATAGATGTAGTCGAGCCTATTGGGTCGCTGCTTTGGGTGTGAACCACCAAGGTGGCTGCCATACCCCAAGTCACGTTTCTCTTTTTCACCACTCCAGCCGTTCCCCTGTTCCCGGGGAATTGGGATGGAAGGGCTGTGCATCAAAGGACACAGCGAATGGACCCGCAGCTCCTCCCCACGTGGATTCTCAGTCCAAGAGACCAGGCACTTGGGCCTTCATCCGGATGTGCGGCGATGAGCCTCGGGAGAGATACAGTAACCCGGCCAGTCTGTGGCGGGGGTGGCATTGAAAGACCTTCAAAGATCTTTGATCGAGATATGTCGGGATGCGATCAATGTGATGATGCCTCTTGAATTCTTGACACCTTCTCACAAAGTCCGCCGAAGGTCAATAAATACTTGGCACACTTGCACAAAGTGCCCACTGGAATGCCACGACGTACCATCGCATCAGCCCCCAATGTCAGAAACTCTTGACTCTCGCGCCGTGTATGCTTAGAAAAGACACTTGGATGCTATGTTGTCTTCTGTTCATGGGAGGTATCTGCCCAAGTGTAGGACACTGGAATCTCCTGTTCCCTATCCCAGGTAAATCGCTGGGCGGCTCGGTGATATATTTTGGTCTTTAAAGGTGGAGCGCTAGAATGAATGACTTGTTGAAGTACTTCAAGCTATGGTTGTGATTACTAGCAATTACATTACATGCAGTTACTAGCATTATATAATGAGTGCGTGCAGCGTCCATTGAGCAACCTGCAAGCTACATCTGGATGTGCCAATGCATGCTTTACAAAAGCTTGTGCACACCAATCTGCACGTCGATTGACTCCCTGTGCTGCCCAAATGCAAAACCACCAGGACCAGCGGGGCTGCCCAAAAGGCGAAGCAACGCCTTGGGTAAGGACAAGCGACCCAAGTCAATTGATTAGCACAGTTCAGGGATCGAACCATGTGCTGCTGAATGAGCATGCATACTTCTCTTCCTGTCTGACCTGGCAAGCCTTTCTGTGCCAGCTCAGCCACAGCAAAAACCTGGATGCAAAATCCAAAGAATTTGTCTTGCGGCGTGGCATGCCAGGAAGGAAGCATCAGCGAGCAATTTCATTCAACGTTGTGCTGTGCTGCTGCATCATAGGCCGAATCTCCTTGTCTTTTGTTTTATTTTGGGGTGTGGAACCCCACACCAGCTCATCCGTGTGTGCAATCTCTTCTCATGTGTGCTACTGTTCCAAGCACTGGGTTCAGTATCCAGGTTGCTGACTGTGATGCTTTGATATGACACCGTTCATACGGCGATGGCTGGATGCAATGTCTTAGGGAAAGGGCTGCATCAAGAATGTGTGCAAGTCCCTTAGTGGCCGTTTCAACTTCTATTTTTGAGGAAGAGTGAGCAGCCTATATAACTACATATTGCAATACATACATGAATATTAAGACATTTTTTGGAACTATATACTGTGAATAGATCTAAAACAAAACTTGCTTAATTACATCTTCCTGGCCCAAACCACAAGAAAACAAGACATGCGAATGTGAGATCTTCTCGGCTCCCTTTTCAGCGGTCTCACCACACCGAGCCCGGTCGGACTCTGTAGACCCCCCGGTCAGCGGCCCGAAGCTGTCGGCTTTCAAGCTCCGTCGGTGATCATTTTCATGTCCCCAACCACGTTCCTGAGCTGTTCAACACCCTTTCGTCTTGAACGTCTGCTCCGTAGTTACTCTTCAGATCCCTTCAGCTACCACAAAACACGGGTGTCAATTGTCTTCCAGCTTGCGTGCGGCCTCCGCGTCGACACTGTCGGGGAATGTTGGCGAGAAGGTCCAATTTGACGTGTGCGGAAGTCCAGGGTCACGAACCAAAAAACATGGACGGCAGTCCTCGTGACTTGTCTTGCTTGCGCGGAATTTGCGTACACTATGGGCCATTCAAACCTCTGCAGAGCAACCCTGTGCATGTTTGTTTCATCTGATCAAGATTGATCAAGAGAACTAGAATCCAACTCCTTCCTACAACCGCATTGATCAGGGGCCGGTGTAAATAAATTTCTGCCGACATCGTCCCAAGTCTTCCGGCTTCCATGATGGGTCGTGGGCGATTTTGTTTGGATGGAAGTGGCAACCTCGCCTGCGCATCGCCTACGCATCGAGTGGTTTGACTGTTGGATTCCCATTGCAAAACCTATGGGCTAAGCCACGTCTGGATCCATCGGATCAAACAAAACACAAGTTTGACCAACATTATTAACCACCACTTACAGTAGGCAATTCGTCCTGATGGAATGTAATGTATATTATATACAGTTATTTCTGTATTGTCTGCACATTATATGGTCGGGCTGAATGAGGCAAGCATCAGCGTGACATTGTCTTGCTTGCTCTCGGCCTCAATCACATCCACAAGATCAACGCTGAGACATGGCAGCAATTGGGTCAACACAAGCCAACACTCTAGGACAGTGAACATCTGCCGAGGTGTCCGCTCTTCTATTTGTGTTTGAGACGTTCACGAGGTAGAGCCATAATGACCGGAATAGGCAAAACACCGAAGGCCAGCCTGCTTCTCTAGCCAGGCTGATAATTGTGATTGGTGCTCCTCCACACCCTGCTCCTTGCAGAACCTCGAGGGACACTTTTATAAGCCTTCCATCTGGCGACCCATGAACTACGGTGCACTGGGATCAAGTGCCTGAAAGTTCCTGTATCCGACACCATGTCATGGTCTAATCAATGGTGCACGCGTTTCCTCAGCAGCCTGCCTCTCGGCTGCTTCAATGAGTTGCTCTTTGGAAGGTATCTGGCCAGCGAGGTGTGGAAAACGCAACCAAAACAATCACATGATTACATGTTCTACTGCTACTCCCTACCCTATCCTGAGGGGGGGGCGTCGAAAATTGTAAGTTACATTTTCCTGCGCGCAGGGCCTCAAAAAATGTAATTACATTAACTTTGAGGTGGCCTCAAAAAAGGTAACTTACATTTTTGAGGCCTCATGGGTGATTTCCTGGGGAATGACCTCAAAAATGTAAGTTACATTTTTGAGGCACAGAGGAGCGCTTACAAGTTTAGACCCCCCCCCATCCCCACACTAATTTCTGCTCACGACCACGTCCCGCATGGTCAAATGCGGCATTTCAAGGAAATGCCTGCCGAAACATGTCAGCCGTCAGCCATCAAGTTGAATGATGCTGCCCGCGGCCGGCTGCATCATTAGCATTTTTTGAACTGAAAAAACAAATATAAAAAATATATATGTTGTTTTGTTACAATTCTTTTTGGCCGGGGGGTCTTCCATACACAACTCCTTCTGCAGCAACAAGCCACACAAAAACAAAGCAGATGAGGGAACAGCAGTGGGTCTGAGTCATCATCAACAAAGAAGAACAGGAAGCACACCCAAAGCAAACTGCCAAGAAACAGGAACATACATGTTCCCACTGAAGACCCCAAAGGAAGGCAACAAAGCGAAACCCAAACATAACAGACGATCACACTCCATACATAATAAGCAATAATGGAGAACAATAAAGGAGAGGCTGCCTGTTCTATCGGGCAGGAGAACAAGGATATTCAACGCCGTTTGATCCCCTGGTTTCTTGCCCCCTGCTTGCGGTTCGTGTGGTCGGACGTGTGTGCTTTTCAGTATGCTAAAATGTAAGTACCTCAGGGGGACACCCCAGTTCCTTGTAAAATCTGGGGAGTTGGGCATGTGGCCAAAATGTAAGTTACAATTTGTGAGGTCAAACTTTCTCACAGAACCCATGTATTCCCTGTAAAATCTGAGGGTTTGGATGCGTGGACTAATTGTAAGTTACAATTTTTGACGTCTGCAAATCTCACCTTTCGCCTGTGTCCTGGTCCTGCATTTTTGGAGGCTATGTTTTCCTTGGTGTTGAGGCATCAGCAAACAGTTGCCAAATAATACTTTTAGTTAATTACTTATTTAGAACATATTTCATTAAGTGACTCCCACCCGCAAATAATTTCTTAGTGATTGGCGTATCTTCGATCTGCCAACGCACCCTAGGGGGGGGGGGAGTAAAAAAAATGTAAGTTCAGGCCTCCCAGGTCCCAAGTTACATTTTCCAGACCCCCCCCCCTCCCCCCCC